AACCTGATCGGAGCACCGGCAGGAAGTTGGGACTTCAAAACAGATTCTGCTTGACGAGCGTGCAGTGGTTGAGGACATTCGTAAGGCGGGTTGCCATCGCGACATTGCCCCTGATGCCGATGCCGATGATGTTTGATGAATTTTGGTGACGAATATTGTCAGCATTTCATAGCATTTCATAGCATTTCATAGCATTTCATAGCATTTCATAGCATTTCATAGCATTTCCACATGGCACTTGGGACATCAGAGTCTACGCCCAGATTTCCAGGCAAGACTCGTAGGTGTAGACGCTGAATTGCTACCGGAGGCGGGCTGTGGAAGTTGATCAAATATATCAAATGGTGCAAATTTCATAGCAAAACATTGCAAAACTGGGGATATTCAAAAGCAAATACTTGGTATAATATGGTATAATTACCAGCAAAACTTGGAATTTCACATCATTTCACCCTGGCGATCCACAATGATCCACATTTTCGAGCTTGGGGGATACCAGCAGAAATAGGGTTGGTAATCATCACCAAGAACGATGATCATGAAAATTCAATGGTTTGATTGAAGTCAAATTTTGAACTAAACCATTGTTTTGACCTCCCAATGGATGGGGGTTCCGGTAGAGTGTCCCAGTGTCCCTTAAACCAATTCTGGAAGAATAGTGGGTGCCAATTTAGGGACCAACGGGTTGATGATCTGAAATATTCGAGGGATTCCATCCATACGATAAGCTACTAAGGTGTTTCAGATGTTTTGAAACCACTCACCAATGCGCCCCCGTAACAGTCAGCAACAGGTGGCATTTCAATACGTTTAAAAAAAAATTACTTTACTTCGTGTGATCCCCACCATGACATTTATACATTTTCTTACTGGCAAATCTTCTGGCATTCTATCTGACATATCTTCTGACATTCTATTTGGCATTCTATCTGGCATATCTTCTGGCATATGATCTGGCATATCTTCTGGATTCTATCTGGCAAATCTTCTGGCATTCTATCTGGCATATCTTCTGGCACTCTATCTGACATATCTTCTGGCATTCAATCTGGCATTCTATCTGGCATATCTTCTGGCATATATTCTGACATATCTTCTGGCATTCTATCTGACATATCTTCTGGCATATATTCTGACATATCTTCTGGCATATCTTCTGGCATATCTTCTGGCATATCTTCTGACATATCTATCTGGCATATCTTCTGACATATCTATCTGGCATATCTTCTGGCATATTTTCTGGCATTCTATCTGGCAAATCTTCTGGCATTCTATCTGGCATATCTTGTGGCATATTATCTGGCATTCTATCTGGCATATCTTCTGGCATATCTTCTGGCATATCTTCTGACATTCTTTCTGACATTCTTTCTAACTTTCTTCTGCACATTCTTTGTCCCATATCTTCCTACATGAGGTCCGGCAAGGAACACTTGGCGTGGATACTCGCGGTTGAGGTCCGGCAGGGAACACTGGGCGTGGATGGTCGTGGTTGAGGTCCGGCAGGGAACACTGGGCGAGGATGGTCGTGGTTGAGGTCCGGCAGGGAACATTGGGCGTGGATGGTCGTGGTTGAGGTCCGGCAGGGAACACTGGGCGAGGATGGTCGTGGTTGAGGTCCGGCAGAGAACACTGTGGATCGCGGGTCGCAGTTGAGCAAGGACGACGAGGACGACGAGGACGACGAGGAGGACGAGGAGGAGGAGGAGAGGAGGACGAGGCAGGAGGAGGCGGAGGAGGAGGAGAAGGAGGAGGAGAAGGAGGAGAAGGAGGAGGAGGAGGAGGCAACTGGCATAAAATCTAACAACCCTCACCTGGCAGGTGGGGAAAAAAACAAGCATGGAGGAGCGCAAGAAAATCGTTTTTTGTATATGTTTGGTGACAATATATTCGTGTTTTTTCAAAAAAGCGGTGGACTTGGAGAACTGTGGATCCTCACAGTGTTGGTATTGTCAGATCTGTGGATCCACACTGGAGGGAAAAATGATGGGTTGATTTGAAACATCTACGACAAGTGACAGTGCTATTTCTCACTCATACATTTCACATGTCCTAAATCCGAAACTACATGGATCTCCAAATTTAAAGTGAAGAAAAAGAAACGCACCACTTTGCACGGTCCGTGTGACTTGAACGCTGTGCTTTGTCTTTTCTCATGCTCTTTCTCGTGTTTTTTCAGTGTTTTTGTCCTCCTGCCCTTACTATCCTGTACCAAAAAAACAAACGAGCACTAGAAAAAGCACAAGGAAATCAAGAAAGGGGACATGTTTGTTGCGCCTTGTTTTCATTTCGTATGCTCCGGGCTTGTGTTTTTTGTGTTTTCCTCCTGTTGCTTTTGTCCTTGTCTCGTGGTGTTCCAGCCAAATGCATTGAAAGGTGGCTCGAACTCTCATGAAAAGCGGATATGTAAATTGTTTTGGTCACTTTTTGAGATTTTCACATCAACCCAGCTTTGCAACCCAACAGCAGGTTCCAAGGTTCCAGGGTTCCAGCGTTGCGGTTCCGTTCTGGTTTGTGGGGTTGGCAAAAACGACGCGCCACTCCCAGACCCAGAGATTGAAACGCAACAGTCACTGCTGTTGTGAATCACTGTTACAGCAGTTGGACGCTGCACGATCTGCATAGATATAGAGTATTATAATGTCTTATATTACTATATACATATGTATATTCATGCCGCATGCCTACATCGACATATTTCATCCATCGAAGTATTGATTGTTTCTAGACGATTCTTCTTGGTTCTCAAACCCATCGGGATCGTTAAATCCCTTTGAACCACTCTTATTCTGGACTTTTTGATATACAAGTAGGGATTCACAAAAAAAACAGAAATTTTGAAAAGTGAATCTGTCTGTGACTGTGATTTACTGTTCTATCAGTTTTAGGGACCCCTGCAGTTGTATCCCTTGAAATATTTGATGGCTGGGCCCATCGGCGCAAAGGACATCCGCAGAGGGGTACTGGAGATGAGACGTTCGCTAACAGCTGCTGTGGATCGTTTGGTCAGGGGATCTCAGTGAGTGAAGCGTCAGGCCTGGCTCAATGTCAAATAGAGAATTGGGAAATTTATGAGGAATTGATTCAATCATATTGGAATATATTGGACAGGGTGATTCTCATACAAGATTTACGTGTATCTATATCTATAGAATTGTTAGAGATATACATATAAACAATATTAGACTAGGCAATCATAGACATAGTTACATAGCAGCTGTGTCGATTGTTTCAGAGGAGGTCCTATGGCTGGGTGGCGTATCCATAGGATATGACCTGCCACTGTGGGGATTCTTCCGCCCCTAAGGCCAAAGACTTGTATGAGTCACAGGCACACTTTTTGCAGGACAGCTGCCAGAACCACGGTGGGGATACAACCATCCATAGGATACTCGTACCATAGATACATAGATACATGCCTGCGCATAATGCACATATGCACGCAAGCATCCAAGCATACAAGCAATCAAGCAATCAAGCATACATACAGGATACATACAGTATACAGCTGACAAAACAACAAACAATAAAGTATATTCAACTGAAATGGGGATAAAAACAGTAGACAGGGGGTGCTTGAACCAATCTTGAACGACAGAACTAGCAGAAGTTTGGTTACAATTAACAAAACTGGGGAAGTTTAGTCATGCACGGATCATACTTAGAGGATTTTACAATGAACAACCGACTTGATGGTGCCGTATATTTATATTTTTTTTGCATCCTTGCCCCAGATGATTTCGGGCCCCGGATCACGTTCATTTGTTGGATGGGTTGAAACCACCAGACCACCTGACCTTGGTTCTGACGCATGGACAGCCACACGAATACGCTAATCGGCATAGAACAAGATGTGAAGCCACAGATTGGCTGCACTGGATCATGGAGAAAGCGACAGATGACCTCACCAAAAAAAGAAATGTTGGGGGCCGAAGCGTCAAAAATGCCATTGACAGTTCGGTTTGAGTTTTGTTATAGACTCTAGAGATCTCTAGGGTATCAGTGACTATCCAGACGCAATATGTGCACTTGACATCAGCTGCAAGGAATTGCTTCAGAACGTGGAGACCTCAGACTGGCCTGTGCTATGGACATCGTTCGACCCGAGACCAACCCCATCGAAGCCAAGGCTGATGACAACAAATACGCGGATGGTGTCGTTCCCAAAATGGACTTGGTCCTTCGCAGCAGGCACAACATGGCACTGTCCACGGATGATATGTCACAAAATGTCCACTCTTAGCGGGATCCAGGTAGATCCAGATGGCCCAAAAAAAATACAAGTTTCCATTCAGCGATTCATGAGTCTTGCGAGGTTCTGGTTTACTCTAAAAGGTTCCAGGTTTGGGGTTCTTGCAGAGTGGCCAATCTTGCCTTCGTACGGACGGTCACGGGCGGCCCGATTGTTTTCTGATTTTTCTGTCTGAAGAGACATATCCATTTGCTATCAGTTGCATCCATCGAATTTCCATCTCATTTCTCGTCCAATCTCGTTCATTTTTTCTAACCATCATAGAATTTGAATGTAGAATCCCAAACAGAATTTGTGTTTTGACTCATACCCTCTGGTAAACAGCCACATAACTATGGAAAATCACCATGTTCAATGGGAAAATCCACTATTTCGACTGGGCCATTTTCAATAGCTTTCTCTTAGTCATTACCAGGCCGGGTATATTTTTTGGACCATCCCTTCCCTCAACATCCAACAGTGGAGGCCATCCGTCCCCTATTTCTTCGCAGTCACTGGGCCAACGGGGACGGGCCGGGGACAAGAACCAGCCCCAATGGCTGGCGGGGAGTTTCAGGGATTTAGAATAAGCTATAATATGCTACAATGAAATCATATGAAATCAATAAATTATTAGAGGTTATAATGAGTTATAAGTTATAAGTTAAAATCAGTTATACTATATTATACTATTATAATTTATAATCTATTATATACTATTTATGTCTATTCATACCATCCCAATTTGAAGGTTTATTCGGCAGGTTTGCCACATTATTGATGTATATTGATGTTGGAAATGGAGCATTATATTAGTTTAAGTTTAATTCATCTTTAATCCAGTCTGCTGATACGTGTCGTTCTGTTGAAAGGTGAAAGGTGAAAACGTTTGATGTGTTCCCGATAACCCCACGACCGCTTGGTTTTGTTCTGTTTTAGTTTAGGGTGTACATAATCCGTGTCGAACTCCAGTTGGTTTGCATGGCCAGAATTTGTGATCCGTTGCTCCACATCCCAGTCGGAACAGACTTTATCATCTTTATCATGTTGAGGGATCATACACGTGGAGAGGTATACAATGTATACAAAGATCCAAATGCAGTCATCAAAGGTGGCGAATCGTGCCAACTTTGGGGCCAAGTGCAGTGTATTCACAAGACACTGAATGTCTGAGGCCAACAATGAAATTGGCCTGTCAGAGGCAAGGAACCAATCATGTCTAAGGGTCTAATCTTCATACTTGGTTGTGGGAAAACAGTGTTTGGGTATCCCGCACTTTTGGAAACACCGGCACCCGTCAGGATGGTTGGCTATATCATGCTATATTAATATTTTGCTACATCAATATGCCCATCGTTGGGCTATACCGACCCCATGCCCATCAGTCGATGCCATGCCAGGTGGATGTGCGGGCTCTGTGTGATATCTCAAGATCTTCCAAGACACAGGCAGTGTGGAGGACACTGACATCGTGGTCTTCAGCACTCAATACCTCCAATAAATATATATACTATATATATATATATATTGATGATGACAGGTGAAAGCCCCAACCCTGAAGTTGGGGGCTCATTTTGGATCTGGAAGTCCGACCGACGCTCGCAGTCACATCACACTGTGGAGGCTGGCGGCACCACCGGCTACAAAGGGGTTGGCTGGAAGTCCGTGTTCCGAGTATGCGAAGCTCCTCATGCCCAGGGCTGAGTTCTCTGCCCAGGATGGAAAAATATTGAGGGCCAAAGCCATGGCAACAAATAGCTGTTGCTGAAAGCTGAGGTGCTCTCCAGAAATTGGCGCTTCAAATTCTCATCAAGTGGGTTGGGTATGTCTCTTGGCCTTGGCTGGTGAATACGTGCCTTTCTTGCATGTCCCAAACTCGGCAACGGTAAGAATCCACGACTTCGTAGATCAAGCATTGCAAGGGGAACCATCCTAATTGAGTGACTTCTTCCATTTTTGGTGCACCGCGGCGCACCGAGGTAGCTAGGACCCATTGTTTGTTTACCTGTTGGATCCGTTGGATTAATGGATTCAACTTCTTCTTGAAGTACTCTCCAATCACCCGTTCGTATTCTTTGGTGCCAGATTTTTGATGCCCCCAAAAAAAAAGGCGTCCCGGTTTCACAGATCCTCGGCTGGCGCTCTCAGGTTGACGCCCATTTGGCTGGAAGACGAGGATGTCCGCAGTTTACCAAAGGAGGTACTGGACGCCCACCAGAGGGGTGAAACTGCCTGGGACCTCAGGAGAAAAGCCGCAGGTTGTGGGTTCATGTTCATCTGTGGTGATTTTGAAGGAAGGATTATGTTGATAAATACCGCCAAAAAAAATAGTTCCTATTATGGGCAATTAGGGTTTCACACGACGCTTAGCTGAAGCTGCCTTTTATATCCTGTAGTCCTCTAGTGATATATCCAAATCCCAGCTTTGTGGACCTTTGAATTGGGGGTTGGAAGTTGGAACCATCCCAAGTTGCCAGGCACCAAATCCTCCTTTCACAATTTTCACTATGCCATTCAGACCTGGATCATCCTCAGGTATTTTACCTTCCATTGGCAGATCCTGGTATCTCCGTGCCCAGCATTCGCGCGGAGATGCAGACCATTGAGGCGGACTTCGCCCAGCTGCTGTTTTTGCGGCGGGTGATGCAGATCTCGCTGCGTGGAGATTGGACCGCAGAGGCAGAGCAGGGACCCGAGGGACCAAGCTCGGTGGTGATGTCCGCGAGCGTATCGCCAAATGGCGTGCGCACCACGACCTGCTGCCAACAATACCATGAAGACAAGGAGGGTGCGACCCTGGCGAGTGAGAAGAAGACATCCTTCGAGGTGGGGGTGTCAAAAATATTCAAAAATGAGTCTTTACTTATCCATAGGGCTTGGCTGGTTCTTGACGCTTCACGAAAAAGGTTATGGTCTCGCTTCCCAAAAAGCCATTGGTGGCAACGGGGCTATATCATTTCAGTATGTTTCAGTGTTGCAAGTAAACAGCTACTGCAGCTACTGTATAGTTTTCCACGTTCAACTTGGTGAAATGGCAGTGATGACCCTGAATTCCGTTGGGATATCAACGGGTATGATGGGTATGATTGGGTATCCACAGTGACTGGCGGATATAGCAAGGAATCGGGGCAGAATCATTGGAGGATACGGGGGCTGGTTGTGTAACCACTTAGGAGACTTAGATTTCAATTCGAATCCTGCAATGCCTGGATTTGCCTACTTGAAAAAGTGTTCCCAACGCAAAATCCACCAGAAATGGTGAATCTATATATGGCTTGAATACATGTGATTTTGATGGTGATTTTGTAGGGCCATTCTTGAAATCTTATGGTCGCGTCGCAGTTCCAGGTGAAAAGCCACGAGGATGTGGTGGTTGCTTTGCCACTGCTGCCTGATGCTCCGCCGAGTCAGCGTGTCTTTGCCTTTCTGCCGGTGCGCTCTGTGGGCTTCCGCTTTGCAGTACAGGCGTTCACGGATGGGGGTGGCTGGTTCTTAAAGGGAGACTTAACATGATTGCACCATATTTAACCAACAAAAATGGTGATTTCATCATCAATTGTTGTTTTTTTCCATTTGACATGGTGATTCAAGATAATTTAATCAACAAGAATGGAGATGTGGGTTTGGGCACCACAGAATTTAGGGCCGGATTTATGGCCATGAAATTTACGGTGGAACATGATGATCAACCATGACTTTTTGATTGGGCACATCATTTTGCGACATATAATATACAACCATCCAATTGAAAACCCGCACGGAACCACCGATTGGAAGGGGAAGATGATCTTTCTATTATAGTTGATATCACAGTTTATACCACTGTTTTGCTGGATAACAATGGTTAATACGATTATGCCAAGTTTTTTTGGTTAGTGCAGTCAACTATCCCAATGAGTTTTGTATGTCTTGTTGATTACTATCTCCCATTGGATATCATGATCCCCAGTTTTGTTTGGTAATACCCCTCAATAGGATTCAATAGGCTGATATTACTTGGTTGGTGGTTTCACACATGTGCAACCATATTTGGAATGGTGATCCCCAATTACTAATATCTTTTTAGGTGAACTTGACACCATCCATTATGTATGTTTGTATCAATATGCCTGCTTAATACCCTCGATTCCCACAATTGCTGGTTTTGTTAAATTCCTGGTGTTTTTAGCTGATTGTCATCCCCGGTGTTGTCGGACCCTTGAATATTAAGATCTGCCATGTTAATCCGTAGTAAATTGTACTATGCTATCCAAAGTGTTTTCTGTTCAATATGACTTTTGTCATACTCTTGTTATACGGATATACATATCCAATATATTGCAACAGTAGTACAATATGGTTGTATTGTTATTGAATGTTATTGATATCCCATCTACTATGAGTTGCCCATATCAATAACATTACTACTATGATATTTGCTATTCATATCTACTATTATTATTATTCATATCCCCTATGACAATAGTTATACGGATATTCATATCCCATCATGTTACTGTCATCCGATCGCTGGAGCTTTAAGTGGAAGGCGCCTTTCCACCTCACGGCCAGCCGAGCGGATCTCCATCGCTCCCCCGAAAACCTACGACGGCGCAACGCAGTGGCGCCAGCGTTTATCAAAGCGTGTCAGGCTGGGATGGGAGGATTCACAAGAAACAATGATAATTAAATATGAATCATAATTAATACATATCATGATGAAATACCATGATGCATAATTACATAGTGAATTACCATAATACATATGCATATCATGATAATGATGGTTTAATTCAAGAACTGTATGAAATACCATGATGCATAATTAATACATTAAACAGTGTCAAACCAAGATATGTATGCACACCCTTTTGAAATCTATACATCTAGGTATTGTTGTTTTTTTTGGACATATGCACCATGCATGCATGCATACATACATAGAACGTATGTAAACCATTGTAAAACCAACATTTTGAAGGGCATAGAGTTGAAAACCAAACCCACAAGATCCAGCACGTTCAGTGTATGGAGCCTCAAAATTTCAGGTGAGATACTGGGATCACCCAGACATGGGTAGGTGAGCATCTTAGAGAAAATGGTGCCCGAAGAGTCATGTTCGTTTTGTGGGCTGCACTACCTGCAGTAGCGGTGTTGGTGTTGGCAAAGTGTTTCGAACAAGTCGTGTTTTTCCTCCAAAACGTGTTTGAAGCAGATACTAATGTTTTATTTCAATGCCTTCAACAAGAGCAGATGATATTCATTGATATTCACTGGTAAAACTGGTGTAGTTGTTTCATGTTGTTTCACGAACAAAGGCAATGGTCTCATCAATAGGTGTGAACAAGAAGTCGACATCTGTGGAATCACTGGTTGAATTTTGAGAAATCGATCCATCCTTCTATGGATTTTCTATGGATTTTCTTCTCGAAAAAATCAGCTCTAATCAGCTCACCCCACTGGATCATCGTTTCGGATGGTGTTCGGATGTTCTTTTAATCTCATTTGAATGATTTTATGTTATTTTAGTTTTATATACGGTCATTCATCCAGGATTTGCCACCAACTGGATCTCCCAGGAGAGTTTCGAGGTGGCTTCACGTGCCTTGGAATACCTGGGAACTGAGCCCGCGGAACCCTTTTGGATGCCCGTGCGGCAGCACATCTTGGAAGAGCTCCGCAACCTCGCCGTGGCCTCGGGCCTGTTGGGGCTGTTTTCTGTGGCGGTGTAGGTGTCAAGCCAACCCACTAAAATTACCCTCTGGTAATTTAACATAACTATGGAAAATCACCATTTTTCATGGGAAAACTCACTATAAATGGTGATTTTCCATAGTTATGTTAAATTACCAGAGGGGATGTATATTCATGGTAGGTGCCAGAATTATAGAACGAAATTAGGAGTACTTAAAAGTACGGTATGTAAAATACCGTACCTTCGTACTCCTCCGGATCCCGATTCTGCGTGGATTCGGATCCTGTTCTATCATTACTTGTTCTGTTCTATAATTAATTTGTCTGTTCTTTAATTTCTGGCACTGGCATGATATCTATTGCATATTTGTATACAGTACATAATTATAGAACGGAAAATATAGAACGAAACTGGTAAATGTGGGAAAAATGGTGGAAAACACAATTATAGAACAAACCAGAATTATAGAACGATGAAAAAAAATAGGAGTAAGTTAAGATAAGTTTTTTTCATACCTTCCGAGGAAAACATAATTATGATGAATTATGGAACAATAGGGTACGGTAAATAACCGTACCTTCGTACTCCTCAACTTCCGTTCTATAATTTTGGCACCTCCTGTATACATATACATACAAATACAGTATTTATATATTTATATATAATATATGTTGTGTAATATTGTAATTGAGACGTTACAAGCAATATAAAATACCGACCGAGGATCCACATTTTAGCCTTGTTTCAGCACCTGCCAAGTTCAGGGATCATGCCAGCTGCTCTGGCTAAAAGGTTTCGGCTCAAGGGTGGGCTCAAGAGCTCAAAAACCTTGTGCTGATCCAGAAAGCCTGCTGCGGGAGAAATATCAAGTTGTTTATGCAAGGTGCAGATCTTCTAGCCATATCAACTTGGCCTTTTGGAAGTTTGGACTTCCAAGATCTCCCTGATGCAAGCATATCACGACTTCTTTCACTCGATGCCCTTAGGCCCTTCGCCTGCAGTTTTGGAACGACTAATGCAGCGTCAAAGTGAGCATGAGAGCCCTATATAGGTAAGCAGTGGTACAAGTCAGCAAGTTCCTTTTTTGCAAAGCCGAATTTGAGTGAATCACGCCCTACATCAGTATAGCTGAAAAAGCTGGAACTTGCAGGAACAACTGATATATCAATCAATATTCTAAAATATCAAACAGTTTTCAGTTTCATCAAGTAGAAGTACAGGAAGCACTGACCCCATGGTTACCACGCCATGGATCCGATCGCAGATCGCGTGTACGGTTTGGTGCTAGGATGTGCGCTGGGAGATGCTGTGGGATTGACAACTGAGTCACTGAGCTCGAGTTTCAGGGGTTCGAATAGAGCACCCATGAGCACCCTATTTTTGGAGAAACTCAAAGACAAGCTATAGTGAAAAGCCAAATGGCTGTGAAGTGGGTATGGGTCAAGCTATTGAGGGTACCAAGGGACACACCACTTTGTTTTTTTTACATTACCCATTGTTTGACCCATACCCAATTGTCAGGACTTCACAGTGATGTCACCAACCAGATTATGGTTTACATATGGGCACCCGCCCCAAAAACAATTTTATTATATTGTGTTTCATCTTATTTCAGGTTGGTCTATTGTGATGATTCAGCCAGAGATGTGTCAAGACAAATTGTAAGGACCTTAACGACCAAGACCAGTAAAATGTATGGTAAGTAAGGGAGACCACTCCAAAATCGGCTAAGATGTCAGGTTTTGGAATAGAATGATGGACGCTGAATCCTACATGGAAAGGGACTCCAAATAAACTCCTTAGGCAAACCCTCAGTTGCGGAAAGTGATGATTACATCTGTAGCCAGCAGCGCCCATCATTGTAGCTGAAAATTGACACCATTGGCCAAGTGTGATAATTCTTGAGGCCGACGATTGGACTAGAGGTTCTGTTCTGTTAGACCCTCAAGATCCAGCATGGAGCAACAAAGTCTTGCTACAGTTCTCAAGGTTCATGACAGCGGCAGAAGCAGCAGACACCTATGATCTGCTGCTGAATTCCCGGAAGGCAGGATCATTTTCAAGCAAACCCAGAGTACAGTATGGCCAACTGATGGTGTTTGGGCATGTTTGGGCATCTTCCTAGAAAGAGGCTGCGATTTTCTCCATGGTTTTCCAGCATTGCTGAAGTTGTATCCAGTGGTATCCAGTTGTCTGCTGACCAGGCTGCAGGAGAAGCTGTTTGCTTGCAACCCAAAGATGCCGTGCGAGACGCCCACCGAAGCAAGTGGTTTCCAGGCGATTGGACAGATGATACCGACCAATTGGTTTGCGTGCTCAGGTGCCACCAACTTGGAACCAATGGCACTGGATATCACTGGATCATGTCATGTCCATTTCCCGACTACACAGGGTAGCCATAGTGTTTCACTATTTGGGCAACTTGGCAGTGGAAAATTCCAACTTGACAGGTTTTCCGGAAAACTGGGCGTGTGTATGTGAGTTTCCTGAAAACCCTCTTTACCAAAAGCCTCCAACAACCAGCATTGTCCGTCAAAAAGGGGAAAAACACATGTCATTGCTAAACGATGTGCATCAGTTTCACTCACATTTGGCTATAGTTCCATCAGTGACTATAGATCACCCGTATATCAGTATATCACTATAGTCATTACCACAATTACAATTGTTACAATTGCCTTCGTCATTTTTCATGTGTATTCTCACTATTATCATTGCTACTATAATTAATGCACAATCATATGCAGTACTTTGATCTATTCGTATATACTACTAGTAATATACAATTATATATATATACACATATATATATGCTATGACAGACCATTATATTATATTGTCTGCCAATTATACTATAATTTTGTACTATTATCTACTGTTATGTACTATTATCTACTATTATGTACTATTGTCTACTCGTACGTTGCATACAATTTAACACTGTTATGATGAAACTGATGATGTAGGTCAGGTTTCCAAAAGAAACTGACATAGAATTTGGAATTATGATCATTATCATTATAATCATAATTCCAAATACTATGTCGTTAGCCTTACTTATGTTATCATTACGTCTCACGCTAGCTATTAAAATTGCCCTGGCTCATTGGTTATCAAAAAGGGAGCCATACTCCCAAGGCTGGGATTCCAAGATATTATAGTTATAACATGTTATAACCCATAGGGAAACCTATCAACTAGATTCAACTAACTAGTATATATATTTATATAATTATATATATATTGAGATGGGAGAGTCTGGAGTCTCGAATGGTATTTTTCGTGAGTTGCTCAAGTCATCTCAAGTCATTTCTGGTTTCAGGTGCCTGCTTCCCGTTGAAGGCCGTGGGCTGCGCGCACCGGAGGCCCGAGACTTCGCGGAGCAGCTGATGACGTGGCACCGCCAGGGCTTTCCGGAGCTGGGCGACGCCAATGGCTGCGGTATGGGGAGGCGCTGGGCCGCTTGGATGGAATGATAGTAAGGATATGTAAGGATAACTATTCCCCACATGGCCTTATTTATCTATATGTTTTATGATTTTTTCAGGTTTGCGAAAATACTAGGTATAATGTTTTTTTCCCTCTGGCTGAGTGTTCTTACAGGTAACTAGTAAGACTCATTCCACTGAGCTTACGACGTGCACATACTTCTTCGAAATGATTGATCATAATTGCAAATCAATGACCAGTCAGGCTTCCATTTATGTCCGATTTTTCGGGAATCGCATAAAGATTGTCGATTGCAAAATATGGAGGTTTGAAACATGGCCGTTCAAAGCTGATCCTTGAAAGGTGTATTTAAATGCATGTTGAAAGTTTTAAGGGTGAGGCCGAATGGCGCGGCATGTTTCGCAGCCCCTGTTTCAGGCCCAGCCAGGAAAAAGAATTCCCGGAACGAAATCAAACTGGACAATGAAATGAATAAAGAAAAAAAACACGGAGTATATCCAAACATTCCAGTTCCAGGACCCCAGGAAGACTCATTGACACTCTGAACAACAAGTCCCCTAGTATTCTCTGAGATACACCGACTTCGTCTGTCCAATTCAACATCAGTAATATTGCAAGGTTCAACATGTCCTCCTCGCCAGTTCAACCACTCATGGAAACCAGGATATCTACCTGAAATCGAAAGCCAAACCCTCTCAGGAATCCATTCCCTTTTGTCAACGTAACTAGATTCAAAAAAACAAAAAAACATTCTTCCACGGAAACATTTGATTTGACTGACAAAGCAAAAGGACATAGCCTGTGCAGGTTACCCGTCCCTTCTTTAAGCGCACTTGCAGCCTACTCTACTTACCCAGATCAAAGCTACCATTGTTTATTGGTTATTCAATGGAAATTCAACCGTCGAGTATTGCTCTTTTGGCCAACAGAAATCTGGGAATATGATATGATAATATATTATATAAGTACATATAAGTGATAAATGATGGTTGATTGGTTTTTAGGAGATTATAATATATACCTGGTTTTATCAGGATTGTGAATTGTAAATAGTAGGGAAAATTATAGGGTGAGGTAATTAACAACCAATAAAGCCGGAGGAATACCCATAGATGTCCTTTTCCCATTGGTTGGTTGATTAATGATTAATAGAGGGGTTTGTTTACCCCTTTAACAACAGGTAAATGATGATAGATGGTACACCAAACCGGCCCCTCTATTTTTATCAAAAGGACATTATTGGGAATACCGCCAATTGATTGAAACAATTTTACTTTAGGGTGTGAAAAACCGGGTGATTTCAGAGAGACCCATTTTGGGGTGTTTGTGTAGGTATGAGACATTGGGTATTGCCGTCGGAGTCCAACCTGGTGGCAGGAGTACGGCCAGAGTGCTTGATGATCCTGCCTTCCTCCAAGAACCTCAAGCATGTGCGCGTCGCGCTTGGGACAGCACTGGGCGCTGCATGGCCCCCAACGGCGCTCTGATGCGCGCAGCGGCCACAGGACTGCGAGGCGCAGGGAGGATTTGTCGTCCAGTTGCCAGTTGCCCACCCATACCCGGTTGATCTGTGGCTCACCCCGTTGGGAGAGATGTGTGCGGGCTCCATGAATTCGGTTTCGTCGTGCTGAATCCTCTCTGACAAAGTGCAATCCGGGTGCCTGGAGAGGCAAAGACCATGCAGAAGAAGATGCCAAGACCATTGCTGAGGTGACGCATGCAGACCCAAGGCTTCCGGGGTCTGAGAGAAGGAGGGCAAAACCCAGTGCAACTGGCTGAAAATCCAATTCGAGATGGTATGGAGGTCAAGATCTTTTGGAACATGCATCCTGTGGCTAAGGTTCCAGAGACCACTTGAAGTGAACTGAAAGGGTTTTAAAGCATTTTAAAGCTATGACCAGATTGTCCTACCATTTGATCCTTTCTGGGGGGGTCCCGACATAGTTCTGTGCCAAAAGTGGGGGAGCCCATCTGGGGAGGTGTTGCGGTGCCTGTGAAGCTGCTTGCCACCCCCCACCAAGATCTGCCTTTGCAGGTCCACGGCAGCTTGTGTAGCTGTCGCAAAAATGGTGGCATGGATGGTTGAAAGAGGCACACCAGGCTTGGCGAGAAGGATCAGATGCGGAAGATCGAACGGGGTCATGGTTCCAATATGTTCCAACATGCTAAAATTTAGGTTCTTCGACCCCTGCACCCTTCAATTCACACTTATTTGAAGGTCAAAAGGTCCCTGCAAGACTGGAGTCATACTTTTGACATTGGGAAGTCTCAGATCTTAGCTTTTTCGGGTTCATGGTGACGTCATGTGATTGAGTACACCATCATTTGTGCACCAAAATCAGAGTTGACTTTGCTGCACAGATGGATTGTTGGTCGCAACTTCCCTAAATGGTTGGGTAGATGTTCCACGGCAGCTTTCACATCCTTTCACCACTTTTGAACTTAGGTACCTGTCACATGGGGCTACAACCCAAGTTACGACTGCGAGGGGCCCATCAGGATTTGTCCAAATTAAGAATTGACGTCGCAAATTTTAGAAAAAAAACAATTGCTATGGGGAATATATGGACCGAATCAGGTCGACCAGATGTTTTGATCCATCGGAATTGGTGGTAGCATACACATGTAATGTATATGATTGTATACTGTATATAATGTAATATATATATATATACATATATATTCAACGAAATCAGACAGACCCATCACATCCACTTAAGGCGATGGCGTGGATTCTCTGCTGTCAGAAGCCTTTGCCTCAGCCGAGCGCTATTTGCCACACGAGACTTCTCTGGGAGCCTTTGTTCGTCGCCAAAACTGGGCTGCTGGAGGATGATCAAGATAATGTCTCATGAGAAAAGTTGTGTTTTTGTTCCCAAGACACGGCAGTATCTCAGCGATCACTGGGGAAAATGTCTTGAAATACTCTCAATTGGTACATACCAGTAGTGGAAGATTTTCTCTCACTTAACATTATGTCAGTTGATATATCATAGATAATGCTTGATGCTGATCAAAAGTCATCAGAGGATACAACTGATTACTATCAACCACATACAATGCTACTTTTAAGTGCAAACATGTACCGTCCATGAACTTCAGGCTTCATCCCAGTAGGAGCCGCTTCTTATGGGTTCTGAATGCGCGGTTCTTTGTCCATGAGCTCAGCTCAATTTGGAACATGACATCGAGCATATTTCGAGCATCATCAAGCCTCAGGAGAGATGCCACAAACCGTATGGGCTTGCAGTTTGTGCACATTGGAAAATCCACCATCAGAAGACAGCTGTGATGCCTGTGGTCATCCACGACCTGCAGCTGGCAGCGGTTCCTCGACCAAGCTGAAAAAGGGTTCAGGTGGAACTGCAGAGGAGACGCCACACCCTAAGCGGGGATATGTGTATGTATATATATATATACACAATTGTATATATATATATATATACATAATTGTATATATATATATACATAATTGTATATATATAAATATACAGAATTGTATATATATATATATACATATATATATATATACATTGTATATTTTTGATAGCAGCGTGTCTGCTTTTTAGGTCCATAAGTGTGTTTGGGCCGTTCGGCCGTCACACTGAAACCCTGTACGGCGCCGATACGCCGCTGTGCCGGTACTCGTACGCCAAAACCCTGGAAAACGCTGATACGCCGTTATGCTGTTACGCCGATGCGTTGTTTTTTTGGATAACAAACGTTTTGATATTATTGTATAGTATAAAGATACAACATAATACATATATAATATTATATGACATATATATAATATATTTAATACATGTAATATATATATATATAATACATGTAATATATGTGTAATATGAGATTTGATTGTGTCTATATATCTATAATATGTATGTACTATATAGTCCAGCTCAATTTCAAACTGTACTTGTAACACACTGGAGCGTCCAAGGACCTCAAGCCCCCTACTCCGGCACCCATTTTCGCGGCATAAGTCCTATTGTTTACGGGCGAAAATCTGAGAATCGTGCACTAGGGGCAACAAGGATCCTTTGAGAGCCGATGAAATGAGTCAATGTTTGATGTGTGAAGTCCCAGTTTCTATGGGTTTTAAGTTTCCCACTGAAATCCCAATTGTGTCCAAGTTGATGATTGTGATTTCTATGTGTTAAACGGTAAAGTTCCATTCAAAAACCCATGGTTTTTCGCCATTTTCATCCGTCACAGGCAGCGTCAACGCGGGCTTCGGCACGACCTGGAGCGAGGCGGCGGCCCAGGCGCGCGGCTACGGCCGCGCCGCGGCGCTGGAGGAGCTGCGCCACGCGCTGAGGGGCGAGGCGATGCCGGTGACGGACCACAGCGAAACCTTAGGCGATGGGGTGAGTCCCAGGGATGAGTTGATGTTGATGATGATGTGTTTTTTCCAGATTTTAGATGTGTATCTATATTATAATATATGTATATTATATACACATATATTTATAAATATATATATATACACAGTGATTGTTTCTTGAATATTCGAAATACAACACTGGAGGATCGTCGCAGTTGCTACCTGCTTGGGGTTAGTTTCCACAGCTATAAACAGTATAGATATGGGATCACCCCACCAATTAGGGACTTGGTAAGCAGGGTCTATATAACCACTTAACCATGGGTTGATTTATGTTGATTCATAGTTTGATTTTTGGATATTACAATGATGATTTATGGTGTTAGGATCTTAGGATATTTCTGGGTGTTTATACTATCCAAATCTACCCAACATACTGGGCATGATGACAATCCATTCCTGATCGTCCATTTGGTGGTTGACATTGCCGGGGCTGGGATGGGGTTGGATGGTATATACCCAAGAACTGGATGTTGAACATTAAGAAAAATGAAGATCCACCAGATTCCACAAGGGGTGTTAACATAATTAAGTGACTGATGCATACTGATGCGTAGATATTCGTGCAGAGTTTCTGGAGCATGAGTTCAGATTTTTGGGATGTAAACATGTATTCCAACATCCAGTCATTGATGCCAAGACTTGGTCCCTGCTCCAGGCTATGTCAACACTTGTTTGGCGGCTGCCATCTACGTCTTCCGAAGCAGTGTCTTGCGAAAAGATGTTGCAGGACCACAACTGCTCCCCGGCCATTTGACCCTATGGTTAATGCAACACGAGCATACCGTACCATGGCCACGACAATGCTTATTGTACCATTTTGAGTCTATTTATGTAGTTTATAAACTGTTTATAAACCATTAAGGTTCAACAGAGTTTACTATTGTCATTTGTTGGCACAGCTGTTGGCATGAAATATCCCCAGAATTGGATGAAAGTTGGAGAGTTTCAATGGCGCTTTCCGAGGTTTTCGGAAGCCATCCACTCCCTGGCCATGGCAGCTGGAGATGCAGATACCAATGCAGCAGTGGCAGGCGCCTTGCGCCTCAGCAGCATGGTGTGTAGCGGTAGCGGGTAGCAATGGGATACTAATGGGGATAGGATACTAATGGGGATGTTGAAGCGGATATGTCTAATATAAATATATATATATATGTATACACAGTATATATAGTTATACATATTCAAGCATCATGTTTGATAGTTGAGACATGATAGTTCAGATTGTCCAAAAATGATGGATTTGCCATCAAACAAATGCCCTATTTCCAGACAGACCCGTATATTGCTGTCGGTCAAAATTTCAGATTCTAGGAGCTGTTGGTCATTGTTTACTATGAAGCATGTTTGGTAGTATCCAAGGCTGGGCTGTGCGCTGGGTCGAAAGGCGGGCCTGGGAGTGGCGAATTTGCAACCAGTGATCACCTGGCGCTGTTCAAAAAGAAATGTGGATTGCAAGTTTTAACACAGAAAGTTGTAGAAGATTATAATCCAACCTAATTCTCAGACTAATTTAGTAGGGTCCAACAAATGGGCGACTACCTGGCCTTTGGATTTCCGAAGACCCCGTCGACAGTGGTAAAAGATGCGAGGGTTGCACCTGGCAGGCACTTCCAGAGCTTTGGCTTTCACAACTCCCACATCGAGTTTGGCTTGAGAAGATTGCTGAAAAATTGGTTGCTGCCATGAATTGCCACAGTCAAGGGTGAAGACCAGCAGACTTCAGTAGACTGGGTCAGTGGCCAATCTGAGGGTTGGGATCTGAAATGTGGGTCCCAGACCAGCCCTTTGCGACATGAAAAAGCAACTGCAGATTGCTGCCCTGCAGGTTCGAAGCAAACTTCAACTGTTAGTAACAGGAATTCCCACGTGTTCACAATTGGAATGATTATATAGTTGAAAAGATGAAAAGATGAAGACTAGGTTCTTTGATAGTATTGTTTAAATAGACCGTTGAAGAAAATGCTGTAAATGCAATTCGAGCAGCTGCCAGAATCTGTGCTGATAGTCATAGAAGGATTGTGCCGCCTTTTGACAGGAATTCCTGTCGACACCAGCACAAGCGAACTTCACATGCAAATACTTGGGGGGATCAAGGCAAGGTACATCAAAATATGGAAATGAATGGAAATGAATTGAAATGAGTCAAAACCCTGGTAACCTAGGTACCCTAAAATAGCTGGTTAATGATAGTTATTCCCCGAGGCATATGGGGTATCTTTGTAGGTTTTGACCCATAAAACAATTGGATTCCCAGCCTTGGCTGAGGCCTGTGTGGCAACGGAGAGTGGTCAAGCAGTTCCAGATCAATGTTTGTTGCGCGCCTCGGACCGCGTAAACCGGATGGATACTTTAGTACAACGTACTACAACTTAAATCCTTGGCTATAAATGGTGTATATCATGCGATATATAGATATAGAGAGAGAGAGAGAGTTGTTAATGCTCACGCCGTCGATAGCGGCGCTGAGGAATTTGTTCATGGTGGCTTTTGCATGGGGTGGGATGGGCTAATAGCGGCTATAATCGTGTGCGTTCTTTGATTATATTTGTTTGCACTTCCCATAGTAATTTCCAATCCACGTTTGCATCTACGCTATGAATATATGAACATGTCAGCCCGCTCGTGATGTTACGTTGCTGCACTTCCAAGAGCAATTTTCAACTCGCTTTTGCATCTCAACTGTGAACATTTCCACGTGCTCGTGATGCTACTTTTTGTTGCACTTCCCAGAGTAATTTCCAACACACTTTTGATAGTTGACAGTCCTAGCAGGAACCAAACACTGGACAGAGCATGGCAAGATATGAAAGAAATATAAAGAAATATGTTCCATCTGAAAACAGAGCCAAAGACAAAACATCAAAGAAGATCAATGCCAGGCTCTGGGATTGGATATTTAGATGGCAGTGGCCTAGGAACTGTCAGGGAGACACGTGGTCTCACATGGCAGAGCTGTTTCACAGATAGAAAAAAAACCTGGCGTGCAAACGTGACCTTGTTCATAATGTGTATATATATACACACATACACACATACACACATACACACATACACACATACACACATACACACATACACACATACACACATACACACATACACACATACACACATACACACATACATACATACATACATACATACATACATACATACATACATACATGCATACATGCATACATACATACATACATTACATACATTACATACATTACATACATTACATACATTACATACATTACATACATTACATACATTACATACATTACATACATACATACATACAGCTGTATAATGGGGTATGTATATATATATATACTTACTAACAAGCTAGCAACTTATTATTTTTGCAGGGCATCTACGATTTGCCATTGAAGTATATACTTCATGAGAACAGGTGGATTCGATGCTGCCACAAGGAATACATACTAACCAGCTGTTTTTGCGGAATGATACGAATGAAGTAAAGAAAAACAGGGTATCCATGGGTATCCAACATTAGTCACAGGACTTTTTTTCCTGTTCCGTTCCCAGCTTCCAGCATTTTTTTGCGTCAGGTGGCAGCTTGCCAGCAGCACAATGGATCCCCAACGATTTGTTACAAGAAGCCTCTGGGCTCAGCTTTGTTGCTTGGATCAAAGTTGGCTTCTGTTTATGCAACAAATGGGGCGCAACTGTCCATAGTTGATGATTATAGCGGTGTATAATCATATAGGATATATTCATATATAATATAATCGAATATATAACCAAGGATATGTTAGCTGAGTTTGGCAGAAATGATGGATATACACTAATGATTTGCCCAATTGCATGGCAACTTTATGGGGCAATGACGATATGCATCAAATTTGGGGATACCGTATTTTCAGACAAGCCCAATTTGCCGCGCCATGCTGGACATCGTAAAAAAATGACCCAAGATACGCTTGAAGCTTCATGTCGCCCCCGGAAAGCTTCTGCACAGGGGACAGTAAATGTGTAGAAATAGATAGCCCCCAGGTGATTGTGAAGGTTCTGGTTGTTGCCTTCAATTCCTTCAATGGTACCTTCTTGTGGAGGTTGACAAATCTGCCGGCATCGATACCTTGCATGAATTGGGAGTTCGTGAGTTTGGTCACGAGGAGTCACGGATGCTGTGTGAATCAACAGACACTTGTGGCTGTATCTGACCCAATGCGTCGGCTTACTAGAGCGGTGTCCAAATAGATAGAAAATAATAGAAGTGGTTTTCACTATGCTTCACCGCTATGCGAGGTTGGCGTCAGGTTTCAACCTATTTTCGGACCATTGGAATTATGAGGAACCTGATGCAACCTGTGCGAATTGTTAAACACAGATGTTGTACTGAAGTATCTGTTCGCACTTTTGTAAGCCAACCTTTAGCCCCTCAACCGCCACTGGACTGTGAGGAGCTTGTAGCATGCATCCAGTACTGCAACTGCCGGTGGCTGCAATCTTTGTGGCGGGAGCAGAACAGGCCATAGTTCATCATAGTTCTAAAAGAACAATGCAGCCGCAGCTTTTTTTTTCCAGGTCCGTATCCGATCTACTGTATGAGAACATTCATGCAAAGGTGAACACCATATACACCATGGAATCATTATGAATAGCCATGGAATCACTTACATCAGTTTTGTGGTCAATAGTCGCTTGTCTATGGTGCTGTTTTAACCATCAATTCCAAATCTCAGTTGTTCACTGGGCCTGTCTCAGGCGCTCGGCTGCCTTCAATGACCTTTACAAATCCCTTTTAGATTCGATTTTGGAGGCGCTGTCACTTGAGCTGTTAGGTCTCAGAATGAATTGTTGGTGAAAATCTCCAGGAAAACCCCGAGATTCGAGGAGAAACTGGGTAAAAACCAGATCGTTTCCAAATCGTTTCCGCTCATTTTCTGGGTCAAAAACCCTTGGAAATCCATGGAAACTGGGCTCGAAGGATTTCAAGCCCCGACAGGACCCAGCGCGACTTTCGGCAGTGCAGAATCTGTCGATTTTTCCTGTCGGCACCCCAGAGATGGGGATGGAGGTTTGGTTCTCAAAATGCCAACTACACCATACCACACCCGTAGTTCTTTGGGTCCCCAAAACTATTTGGGGCTACCGGTACCCCATGGTACCCCATTCCAAGAGAAATCCCCGGGGCAACTGATCCCTAGTGATCAGTCCAAGGTCGTCTCCTCTGCTTCAAAGACACTTCGGGGTGCTTTGTTCAATGAAGTCGATTTGTAGCTTGGCTGCAGACTCTGCTGGTCTACTATGGTTTGAAATTACTCTAATGTGTAATTTCACGAGAGACAATGATTCATTAAGCACTGGATTTAGGGATAAAGTATGATAATGTACTCTATTTTCAGGCTCATCCTCATCATCATCATCATCATCATCATCATGATCTCGTCATCATCATTGTCGTCGTCGTCGTCATCATCATCATCACCTTATCATTTTCATCATTGTTTTTTTCCACTTGTTTTCTAATGTTTTCCATATCCCACAGACTGATGACGTCAACGGATGATTACCCCATGATTGGTTGCTTGTTTCAGGTGCAACAGCATCGGCCTGCACACAGCCCCTTGCGGCACTGTTTCACAAAGCTGCTTTGCAAAAAAAAGGGTGCTGTGGCCATGGGGGGCTTCGCATCCCACATCATCCCACCGTGGATCCATCCGTAACCCAGTTATTCAAATGCTAGACCCACTAGAATTGGCTATTGATCCATGAACTATGGATATAAACAATCAGCTATATATATATATATATGATGTAGGATAACACAAGCAATTAGGACACTTGTCAGAGCTCACTGATGTTCAACTACTGAATGATGTTCCCATATTTTCCCGAAAGGCTTGGTTCGTGCCGAGGTGTTCAAACCCACCTGGTGCGATGTCTGGAACCTTCTCTGGAGATGTCCTCGCAAAGTTTGCGTTTGCTTCATCTCCTGGGACTCTTATTGCAATTGCGGCAGGGGATTGGCAACGGATGGTGCCGAATATGAGAAACTTCTGAGAAACTTCTGAGAAACATGAGGAAATGTGGGAATGTCATGTGATAGCCATACTGAATGTCATCTAGTCAGAGTTTTTTTCATGTAAAAGTATGTAAGGAATTTGGGTACATCCGTATGCAAATGTAAAAAGAACCGAGACATTTGGGATAGAACCAAGCCATTTCCGGGTTGAGGCTAGATTCATACAGTAGACAAGCTCGATGTTCTCCTGGGGTTGAACCCGGGTATTGTGACCAAAACTGGACCTTCAAGTCATCCCATCGACTGTCTTTGAAACTTGATTTGGATATCACAAGGAAGATCTAAACCTAATTAACACTCGGATGGATGGATGGATGGATGGATGGATCCATAGATATTGTGGCAACTCTAAAGACATATATCATCATATATCATCATATATCTATATTATACACATATTGTATTATTACATGCGTGCTTGGTGAATGCTAAACCTACATAGACCTTCAACAGGGATTAGCTCAGCAGATGTCGAGGTGTTGAGCCGGTGAGCGAGGCAGAGCTTGAGGCCGCTGAGAGTGGACCCCTAGACACCCATTTTGATAGCTAATACATGCTAATACTGTAACGCTAGTAATCACAGGAGTTAGTAAGTGTCCCTTGTTTGGGGATCTTGAACAACACCTTCATGTATTTGATTGAGATTCTATCCCCAATAGTTGGGTATAGTTGGGTGATGTTTAATATTAGTACACTTACCAACCCCTGAATCATGAACCCATTGATTGAAAGGAAACCATTGTTTTTACTCCCATACCAGCGCTGTGGCATGACTGGGGTGCTATTCCGAGCCAGTGGCTCCATTTTAACCATAGCGCTCTTAGCAGTCCAAAAAAAAATGAAAAGTATTTTGCCTCAAAATCTACTAGGATTTGATGCTTCTATCTTTTTGGGGGGGGTGCTATACCACATAATTGGCGGGTTTCGGCTTTGTTTTGGGGTCCCTTTAAAGGGTGGCCTTCATCGGTGTGCGGCAGGCTTCCGCATTCCGGACCTTGTTACAGATTCGCAAGCCGGGAGAAGTTAAGGCCCGGCAACGTTTGTGGAGAAGTGTTCCACTTGATTCTTGGTTGTGATTTGACGTACCAGAAAAGAATTTAGTAAGAATAAACATGACCCGTTGTTAGCCGTAAATGTGGGACTAATGGACACTATCCAGAATTGCGGGAAAACTTGAAGCCCAAATTTTACATGGTCGATTTGAAGATATTTGAAGCAGGAGAGGAATGACTTGTCCATCCCACGTTTTTTGAAGAAGTGCAATTTGACCCCAGCGCTGAGGAGGTTGCCAAAGGATGGGGGAAGATGCTCCATCGACATATTGTTAAATTCATTCCTTATTTTCAACTTATTGTCATAGATGTCACAGATGAATCAGGTCAAAGCCTCAAGATCCTCAAGCTTCAGTGGTTGTATCCTTGTTTCATTGATTACTGGTTTAACATGGTTTAACTGTTTAACTGCCACGTTTCTCGCGCAGGTCTTTCTTTTTAATATACATGTTTTCCTCTGTGCCCTTTCGTGCAGCCTCATTCCAATAAAATGAGCACCAAGATGTTCATGAGCATGAGAAGGGCAGCGAACTGGGGGAGGTTATGAACAAATCTTGGGAAAAACACGGAAAACTGAGCAACTGGATTACTTCTTTGGCAGGAATCCAAAGAACATAAAGAACGCATTGATCAGCCGAGATTTGTTCTGCAGCCTCATTGCCAAACAGAGGCCGACACAACGAAGAGAACTCGCCAATCAGAGATTGACACAAACTTCGATCACAAAAGCTATTGGTGTGCGATGACCGCCAGAAGCTTATTCAATTCGTGTGACCGTTTCAGTTCAGTGATCAAAAGTTTGATTTGTGGTCCAGGTGACAGGGACACATTGGAGAATTTGCCCCACAAGAATACAATGAACCTGTGGGAAGTTTGACTCAGTGAAGTGAGATGTTTTGAGTATTTTTGACTGCATTCCACGAGCGATTCAACCCATTTCAACCTTCGAGGTTTTGAAGACCAGCTATTTGAAGGGGCGGCAACCGGAAGCTGGATGGGATGCACTGAAAGGTGCAGCCAACCTGTCGCTTCGCTCACAAAAAAGCAGTTGGTTTATACCTCGCAGTGCTGTTTACAATTGGACGGATTACTATTTTTGGGGAACCTCGGCAACCTCGGGTTTATTTTTCCTGGGTTCACATTGCATTCTGCTTGAGGGGCATGCTAATAACTCAACGATAGAATGTGAACCCTGTGCACCAACCACACAGAGCTGTTTTCCAAGTTCCACTTCAAGGGCAAGTACAGATTAGATAAGAGAACATAGACCATTGAATTGTGTATACTGTGGTTTCTTTCAGTTCAGCTCCAAACAAATTGATGAATCAAGCTCTAAACTCGAGATGGGGAGCGCTTGGGTTTGGGGAGCCATTGAGAATCATTGAGTTTGCTGCTGTTTTGGGAGAGTGTCTGCAAAACCTACCCTACTTTCCAGAATCAAAATATTCGGGCAGCCGAAGAGGAAATTTGGCCAGAACATGCAACAGCTCCAGATGTGTCAAGCCTAGGTTGTGTGTTTATTTCTCTGGGTAAGACATGACTCTATGAAAACATGTTTGGCGATAAACCATGTTTTTGTTGATATTTCGAATCCTCATCTTATCATACCCTCCGGTAATCAAACATGACGCTTGGAAAATCCCGCATGTAGTTGCATGAATTTCTCATTCACACCTCCATTTATAGGGGATTCCCCAGTTAGCCACGTTTGATTCTGAAGGGTATTCCAATTATTCAGCATGGTTATGAATACCATCTTATCCCCACTATAACCACCCCAGTATATTCCCAATATAATCCCACCATAAGATCATATGTCCAAGATGTCTGAATGTTTTGTTCCCCATCAATATCTCATTTTTAAGAATTCTATCCCCCATAAACCAGGGCTAAATCTGGGTGACTGTCACCAAGGCTGTCGCATTCCCAGCAGTTGGTTCCTGCTTCCCGGCTCCGTCTTTGGTCCTTCCTGGGAGTTGAGTTGCCCCGCGGCTGATATGCGGCTGATATGGCTGGATGTTTTTGGGATTTCACCAAATCTTGGGAGGAAGTTGCTGGGAGATTTACCCTCTGGTAATTTAACATAGCTGACATAGCTATTGAAAATCACCATTTATAATAGGTAAACCATCTATAAATGGGCCATCTATACCATGGCTATGTTAAGTAACCAGAGGGTAATGGCTACATCATGGAAATTCAAATGTGGGCGATACGTCTGAAAATTACGGAGTTACTTATGGCGATTTGAATGGTAAAATAAGGATTAAAGAGTAGAAATCTGATTGGATTAGGGGTACCCTATTTTCATGACAATTGTCCTCCATCTCCTTCCTCACCAGCTCTTTGGGCGTGCCAGCTCTGTGGGCCCAGCCTGACCTGAACCCCAACAGAAATGGTGAGCGCCAAAGCTCTCTGGGCCCAAAAATGCCAGAAAAGATGCCAGATAAAATTGCAGAATGTGTGTCAGGTCAAACGTCAGATAGTCTGTCAGATAGGCTGTCAGACAAAATGCCAGGTAAAGTGCCAGATAGAATGCCAGATAAAACGTCATATGGAATGTCAGAATATGATTATGTTGGATAAGATGTCAAAATATATGTCAGAAATGATCAGAATATATTTCAGACAGAGTGCCAACTAAAGTGTCAGATAGAATGTCAGTATATTTGTCACACAGAATGTCAGTTGGTGGGGATCATTCGAAGAAAGGAATTTTGATTGTGGGTTTCTGCACAGAGCATGGCACCCCAGAATGCCCTTGACAGAGGCTCCAAACTTTGACCTCTCCGGTGTCAGATGCACACAAGCCATACATGTCAATTTCACTAGCTTGAAATGCGGAAGCAATTCTCTCATGTCTGCTCAGGTGCTAGAAAAACGTTCTGAAAATTCGGGTTCTAGGTTATACATATATAGATTTTAGAGGCGCAGTGTCCACCAAACATTCAATAAATGTGTTCTCTACATGCTTTGGTTTCAAGGCGATTACCTCCTGCTCTCATCAGCATCGCGGCAGCACAAGAGTCTGATGCTTTGAAGGGAGATATAGAAGGTATGTCTCCTTAAATGAAAAGCAAAATAATGGGACATGAACATCACGCAGTAAAGCCTAATCCAATCGATATCACTTGAAGTCGTTCTCTGTCGTTTTTCGCTCAAGAAATATCCAGGTCAGGCCCGGTGAATCCCGGTGACCAGAATGCTCCAGAATGCTCCAGAGATTTCAGGCAACATTTGTTCCATCGCCGGCATTGAATCGGAAGAAGCACCCAGCCGACACTACGTTGAAAGAGCTGCATCAGCTCCTTCATTAGGCGGGACGGTGGGGGACGGCGGGAGGTGCCAAGAGATGGTGTGAAAATGTGTGAAATGTGTGCCTGGGTCAAAGTGGCTCCAACATGTTGCGGTCACCAGTCCAAATTTTCACGTTCCAAGACATGCCAGAAATATCCAGAAATGAGGTTGAGAATGGTTCCAACATGTTCCAACTTAAGGATTTGATCTGCCTGAAACCAAAGTCGTTTCACCGTGACCCCCATGCCACGCACGCAGATCCTTCACGCGAATCCGACGTTCCTTCCTTGGAGTCGAACCTGGGATGGGAGGCGAAATCGACGGTGAAGAAATCTGACAGAGAATCGTCCATTTAATCTGGATGGATAATAAGAATTGATAAGATATTATAAATATATGATATATGTGATTATGTGTGGTAATTGAGCTAGATTTAATTTGTGGATTATGTTTCGATGTTCCTGTTAAAGACTGGAAAGTCGCTTGGAAACTGCTTATTCACCTGTACTGGTGCCATGAAATACGGACACATCTTCTGGTATTTGTCTGGTCATGTGGATTGCAAAATGTTTATGCTGTGTTCAATTCCTCCAGATAGGGGCAGGTTTCGAAACTCCGTTTCCAGGCTCCAAAGATGAACCATTGGAGTTAAGACCCCGGCTTCAACAGAGAAAGTTGATTTTAGCGGAAAAATATTTGGAAAAAAAACACAATCAAGAACAGAATCACCAAGAAAACAACCCGACAGGAAGAATCACCAGAAAAAAAAAAACTGAATTTTCCTCAGTTTTTGTTTTTTCTGTGTTTTTTTGTTGGTGTTTTGTTTTTTGTTTTTTATTGTTGTGTTTTTGTTTTTTTCTTTTTTTGGTTTTCTGGTTTGTTTTTTGTTTGCTCTGGTTTTGTTTTGTAAAAAAAACTATGAAACCCTCTATTCTCTGTGCTGTTGGGGTCTTAATATTGGAGCGTTCGGCCCTCCCTCCCCATGTTTGATAATTTTAATCACAGATGGTGGCTATGACGGCTATGATGGTTGGGCCCATGGTTCCCACGGAAGGTCTTTATGTGCAACGTCTTCAACTGTCAGCCCGCTGATCCGCTTTCAACTTCGATTGGTGGGCCACCCTTACCTGAAGGCAACAGTTTGGGGGGAGTCCGGAGGCGTTCGGTATTTCAGAGCGATGTTCCATCCTGACTTGGATGACCTAGGCCAATTGATATCAGTTGATTTCAACTGATCCAGTGGAAGAGTTCACAAGTGCCTCGCCATCTGCAAGTCTGCAAGCATACCTTTCAGAGTGTTGGCAGGATTTCTTGAGTCCTTCCTGCGCTTGGGGCAGATCCTCACCACCGGGCAATTCTGGCAGAAAGCAGCAGGCAGCCCGGCAGGGCATCCTAGGGCGAGCAGGTCGAAAAATATGGCGACACGCAGAAAATGACTTCCCCAGAAATGTCCGATTTGAAAAACCATACATAACTACATAACCATACCGTGTTTGGAGTACTCATACCCACTTGTCCAGTTTAAGAAAGTGAGAATCGGTGAGACCTGAATTACCTGTTGGGCAAATTGATCATTGAAATAGCCTTGAGTTTGTGGCCTTCTTTGATCAACCATGCACAACGACTATCATACAGACGCTCAGATGTAGGACTGTCGTGGGTGGAGTCCTTGTAGTCTATCTCCGTGTGGTTTTCACTGTGATATTCAGTTGAAGCATCGTTTGGTTGTGCGCAGAATGGCATCCTGCCGCAAGTTTTGGAAGGTTCTCCAATGACCCTGGACTATTTGAGCAGAGTGATGCATCTCAATCGTCGCAGTGAAAGTGCCTTCGCGCGTCGAAACTTCCTGCGGAAACTCTCTGCGAGGTCGGGACATGAATGGGCCAATGGGGTAGCTTTGACTCAAAAGCATTCATCTGGTTGGTTTGAAAGATTGCTTGCCGGGATGATCCCAAAGAGTTTTTGTAACTGCTGGCCAGGTGCATGTGAGTCCACCCCCAGATTCCCCAAACTGCTTTCCCAGGAGCAAGGCCGCACCGCATGGGACGATGCAAGATCTGTTTCTTCAAGAGGCACAAGACGTGATATGCATTGATTTTCAGAACCGCTATCCGCTATCCCGCCATTCAGACCCATTGGATTCCAATCAATTAGAGATGGCTCAAACCTAAATCCACTGGTACCGGTGACCTCCGGTGACCTCCGGTGACCATCGGTCTGCGGACCCGACCAGGTCTTCCAAAGCCTTGCGGGCTGCTATTTGCCTTACATCAGCGGTGTACCATCCAATCCGTCCCTTGGAGAATTGGAGAATTCTGTGGGTGTTTAATGATGTTTAAGATGGTTTAAGCAACGAAAAGCGAGGATGATTTTTTGAAGCTAGGCTGTTTGTAGGGATATCATAGGATATCATGGGATATAGTGGTGGGAAGGGGGGACTCAGAGTGATCCAAGAAATGATTTTGGCGCAAGCCAATTTCTAGCAATCGCATGGGTCTTAGGTGCGCCTTGTCCAATGATCCCAGAAATGGGTCGAAAATCCAGCCGATTTCCAGTGGCAAAACCAACCAAGGCGAGTCCATTCCTTGCTGCGATGGTGCGGCGTGTCCACAGAGATCGATGAGTTCTCCTTACTGAAGGCTTTGAGGCCGGGGCCTGAGATTGCCACGGATTGTCACGACATGTCACGACATGTCACCAGGCCATCGGGACATAGTGGGACTGTTTTTCGACGCTCAGGTTTGTCCGTGAGTCGGACATCCAGGACCTTGGATTAGTCTCTGAGATCTATCGCAGACTCTACAACTGTGGCTTCAATCCGGACGAGGAAAAGATCTTTCTGGTGCCTGGAAAAGGCTGGGAGATGATAGATGACAGAAGTCACTGTTGTACGAAGTGTTGTACTGCAATCTTTGAAGATATGTCAAAGTTTAAGACACGACCATGGAGCGTTGTCAATATAGTCCAGCCGAATTTGTGGGTGCCGGATTTTGGACCATAGCCTATCTTGCACCCGTGTGTAGAAGAGAGGCTTCGTGTCCGCCATCTATTTAATCCGAGTCACGTTGTTTTGATTGCGGGAGGAAATTCGGTATTTAAATGTATTTAACCCATGGTGTTGATTTTGTCCGTTCGATTCTTCCATTTCACGAAGACTGTCAGAGTACAAATGATTGTATTGCATTATGTTATGTTATCTTACGTTCCATAATTACAAGCCCCATCTGGGCAATCCTCCCTATTTGTCCTTTTGAGTCTTCACATCCAAGTGCTTGACTCAGGCTTCGTGTCCAAATCGCAGTGTGTTTGGAGACCCTTCAAGTCTGAATTGTTTGGGGCCTCAGTCACCACTTTGTGGGTTGGTTTACGGTATCCCAAAATCAATTCTGGGGCAAGAGTTGAGCCACCAAGAATGGGATACAATGATTAGTCACAGACTTAGGGGATACTCAGAGATAAGTGGTGGTTTCAAATGTTGGTTCCTGTCCGTTCCTACTTGAAGGAAGTGGATCCCAAACTTTCCCTCTCCTCTAACCTGCAAGAATGTAAGCTGTGTATCCTTCGTGGGATTTGTCCCGAATCCATGCAAACTACACTTGGACATCTTGGACCACCTGGCTTGATGCCCATGATGGTGCCAACTGCGAACTGCCCGCCAGCTTGTCAAAAACTAACTGGAAGAAATTCTTCAGTGGCTCGCAACCCTTTAGGCCAAAGATTTCACTCCAGCTTGCTATGCCACTATATTTGGAAAGCCTTCAACATCATCACTAAGAAATTCCCTGACACTCCTGCCATGCCTGGCAATGTTTCCGAAAAATGCAAGAGCAATGGGAAAATCCATACTTCAGGCTACATAAAGGGCGAGAAGATTGCCATGCCTTTCCCTGCCAATCGCATGCTTGGGGTTGCTTTCGAGGGTCGTAACCATGTCCTGTCTAACTGGAAGTTTCATGTTTATTCGATCATCTGATCACTCTGTGTTTTTCTCCTGTTTTGACTCCAATGCGAGTTTCGTCTCTTCGATGCCCGTAGTCTGCGTGAAGAAGTGCCTAATATGTTTCAGCTTAAACCGCGAGCCGGTCGCCGCCCAAAGGCCCAGAACCCCAAGGCTTCCCATGGCTTCCCATGGCACTTGAACTGGCAATCTAAGTTGACAATTGACAATTCCATGTTAATATCATTTTGTAGAAAGTCATCCCATCCAGGGAATGTCCGCCAGATCAGGACAGATTGCGAGGGTGTCAAATCATGAAAGTTGGTGAGTCTCAGACAGTCTCAGCATGTTGCCACGAGGCTCAGAAGATGTTGTCAGCTGGAGGTCTTGCAGGATCATTACAGCCGTTTCGGAGCAGATGTGAGGACCTGCGGCATGATGCGCTTCAGCTTGTGATGCAAGACTTCGGCCAAGTGTTTTAGTTTTTTGGAGGTGTCATCATGTGTAATCTAGATTGATTTCCCTCGATTGCTATCGCGGTTGCTTGAAGCAGATGTGAGTACCATTGAGTGCCAATCTTGAAGCCTACCAGGACAGCTTTATGCACATCCTGGATCCGTGAATGCCCTGAGACCTCTGCAAAAGCATTGTGTGAGTCCCTCATCATGGCCATCGAATGTGCTCGAGTCACCTGCTACGAAAAGTGAGTTGACCTGGGTTGAGTTGACACCTCTCACTGCAAAAGTGATAGGAAGATGATGCACTTTTTCCCCCTCATCGGATACTGTACGGGGAAATCAAGAGCTTCTGGTTTGAGGAGTTTGCCCGGTTGAAATATGTTAAAACTGATACGCGGATCCAAGGATTTTAACACGATAATTTATGGATGTGTGAATCGATGTTCCACTACGCTGGTTTGTTTTTGGTACTCAATCCTGGTTGGGCATGTTGTCATGATTCTTCCGACCTACTGAAATATAGAATATACATTTCAAAAATATACATGTAGGTAAGTATGTCATAGATTGTAATAGAGTGTGTGTATATCCCCACGAAAATGATGCTTTTCTCCACTCTCTTCACTTTTAAATGCGCACCGTTCGCACCGCTCGCCGCCCGAGGTCGATAGCTCGCGGCACCTGCCCGGCAAGCCGTCGATTCCACCGCAGGAGGCGGCAGCAAAGCTCTTCCCCGCATCCAAGGCTGCTATCGAGGAGCGGAACTGGAGATGTTCGGATCCAAAAAGACCATGGGTTTTAAGATCATGTTTCATAGTTTTGAACATGTTGGAACATGTTGGAACATGTAAGTAATGCAAGTCCCATAGTTGTTATTCATATTTATTGATCGGATCATTACAACTATAGTCCCATAGTTGTTATAAAAAAAATAGTAATTACTATGGATTATATCGAATGTCCCATAGTTGTTATAGTCGGATATTTTTTCGGATCATTCGATGGTTCAACGGCTTTCGGCGCGAGGACTTGGTGAAGCTTTGCGTTGGCACCTGCCTGGGCATGGACCTGATCCCGCCAGAGCCATCGCAGCGCGTGGAAGACAAACGCGGCTGGGCGGTTTTTGCTCGGACAGGCTGGAAAGTTTGATATAAATATTAGAAAGATATACTATATATTCTATAATTGAATAGATATACTATAGTTTTATGGATTCCATTTTTGATATAGAATACTAAAAGATAAGGGAACAAAATGGAATCCATAATATAGCAGAAATGTTTAGATATAATGATATACTCGTAAATATCTTTTTTTGAAAAACATGGAAATCCATCTATTAATGTTCATGTATGGAATATCAATATACGGAATATCAATAGCTGGTCTCTGACTGGGCATCGCGGAAAAGATGAATCTACCGGGTACTAGCTGGTATCAGAAGATCGTTGAGAATACCATCATCCAATCATCCAACATTTATCTGGAAATCAGTTAAAGAAATGCAAGGCCATACAGATAAATGATGATAAATGGGCATCTCTTCGGCCCTGAAATGGGCAGATACATGGAACACATACCGTCCTTTGCTTGTGATGTTTTCCTGGTTCCAAATATGTATTTCTCGTCCTGACCTAACATGATGATCCCAAGTCAATATATGTGTATGCATTTATTTATCTAGCTATCTATCTACCTATCTATCTATTTGCTTGTTTGTTTGTCTGTCTGTTTATCTATATGTCTATCGATCGATCCATAATATGGATGGATGGACGGACGGACGGATGGACGGACCGACAGACAGACAGACAGACAGACAGATAGAGATAGATAGATAGATATAGATAGATAGATAGATAGATAGATGTTCATACATGTAGTTATGTATAATGTACACATATGTATATATATATATATATACGTGTGTGTGTATAATATATATATATACATAAGTGAGTGTGTCAACCTGGAACATTGAATTCTTTGACAGCAAAGGTCCAGATGGCGTGGTTTTTAACCACTTTGTCCAGCAACGCATGATCGTGGTGCCTGGCGTGGGTGAAGGTGACTGTCAATGCAGGACGGTTTGCATTTGTCAAGTGATGGGGCCAGTTCCAGTCACAACTCCATCAACTCATATTACTTCATGAGGTTCCCTCCATGAAAGCTAACATCATGAAACCAAGAAATGTATAGAAAATGTATAGACAATAAATGAACATAAACATGATTAAAAGGTGTGTTTCCAGTGGGGAATTGGGTGTTTTCCAACGTTGTCCCACCATCTTTTGGCCGGTTGGACAGCGGATTGCCAGGATTCTGTCCATGGGCGAAGCCTATTGGGATGTGGTGCCCGAATTGGCGGGCACTCCAGCACAAGATGTGGCACTGAAGACCCACTACGGTGTGGGTGGAAACGAGGAGGTGGAAGTCGGAAGCCTTTTTCAAGTCGGTGTCAAAATGCGTCAGATGGATATGGATGGATCAGGTCCAACACTTTGCATGGCAGTTCATTGCATTGGTTGATTAATAGAGGGGCTTGTTTACCCCTTTAACAACAGGTAAATGATGATATTTTTACCAAAAGGACATTATTGGTTCATTGGCAGTTGGATCAGTTGGATGTTCCCTTGGGACTGATCGGTCATGGCTCTTTGTGCAGGCGACGATCATATTCTTCACGGAGGTCTTGCATGTCAAGCCCTTCTTGACATTGGATGACTGGACAGTGATCTGCCAGGCGCGCCCCCAAAATCCACAGCTAGAACTTTCAATAACTTTCAATAACTTTCATATGTTTCCATGATGTTCCATGATTTTCCATCATGGAGGTTTACGCAAGATGTCACAGTTGAGAGAAAGTTGCTGGATCTTGCGGGTCACCGTGGGGAGACACAACGAGACAATGGTCTTTTGTTGGCAGGGGATGACCATCGTCATGGATGACATTGCCCAAAAAGTGGAAAACGGGAAAACTTGGAGGAACTCCCCCCATATGCCCTAGGATGCCCTAGGTGTTTAACTTTGGTTTTTTACTATTTTTACTTGTAGCTCAAACTTGTTCCTTAAATGACGTAGAATGACAGGGTAATCGCACAAAATTCGGGGGGTCCAATTATGTTTCAAGCAAAACCATGTCATATGTTCTTGATCTGCATCGATCTATATCATCATGTTCCGCGACTAGTTATCAGGAGTTGTGCATCAAGGGTTGACAACTCATGTGGATGTACTGTAATTAATTGGAGCGGCACGCAACTAATTTCGGCAATTGGGCAAGGCAGCGCTAGTAAGTCCGCTAGTTTTGTGCTAGCACTATTCTCCACCTTCCTTTTGACAAAATTCCGCGCTAGCAATGTCAATGCGCTAGCAACAGTTGCAAGAATCAGCTTCAGCTGACTCGTGACCCAATCACCTTTGAAAAACCTGTATGTCTGCAAATATATCTACATGTATATTTGTACATCTCATGAAATACTGATATAACTAACATATTAACATGATATACGTGTTAATTATACATGCTACAAATATGTGTGTGAAATATCACATGAATCCTATGACGGTCCTCTCAGACCGCGTTGCACTTCGTGCCAAACAGCGACTCAAACGGCAACATCGAGGAGGGTCTGAAGCTCTTTCAGGCGATGGTATTCGATGGCAGTCGAATCAGTGAAATGGTCTGGTTATTGTCAAACAATCATCAAACATGGGGATTTAATGGAGGTTGAATGGGGCTATGATTCTAAAATATTGTAAATATGAGAGTTGAAATGGATTCAAGTGATTCAACACGATTCAACCGTTGAATCTGGGGATTTTACTGATGTGTTACTGAATCTGAATGGATGGCATCTACCATTGATAACAAAAATCAGCTCTTTCATGGGATATAATAAGGAGATAGTGGGATATAAAAGGGAATACACTAATCCCGTCCCCCTATTACTAAACCGTCCCCCCCAAAATATCCCAAAATAGTAAACACCTGGAGGAGTTTTTAGTATTAGGGGGTATTTTGTATTAGGGCGCGAAGCTTCCCCCTAATACTAAATCAAAACACCAATATAAAAAACACGATCTTTTTCTATTTCAAAATCGGTTAGATTTCCTTTAAAATCTAATTTAAAAATTGCCAAAAATTGGATGTCAAAGCTTTCCCCTAATATTAAATTAAACACCTTGATATAAAATACTGTTTTTTTCGACTTTAAAAGACGGACCTGAATAACACCCCAGGGTTGACTAGTTTTCATTATTAGAGGGTGAAACCCTGAAATGGGACCTTCATGTTTAATTTGTTTTCGAAAGGGGATCAATTAAAAACAAAATGGCCAGTCTGAAATTTCCGAAATTTAACGCGGACCCTAGTTTTTAGTATTTGGGGTACGTTTAGTAAAAGGAGGTGGGGATTATATAATTATATGATTATATACATATATACATATATACATATAGACATATAGACATATATACATATACATATAGACATATACATATATATATATATACATATATACATATATACATATAGACATACATATATATATATATACATATAGACATATACATATATATATATTTATATATACATATATACATATATACATATATACACATACATACATACATATATACATATATACATATATACATATATACATATATACATATAGACATATAGACATATAGACATATATACATATAGACATATACATATAGACATATAGACATATAGACATATATACATATAGACATATATACATATATACATATATACATATATACATATATAAAACCAACTGTTATGATATTTGGTTGTTGCCCAAAAGTGGCCGGATTCACCTCATATTCATGGCAAATTCGATGGGGAAAACAATGATAAACCTAATCATCATTGGAGTCTCAGGTACCTTCCAGCGGCAATGTCCCCTGGGATATCGAGAGCGTGGTTGACTCTGTCTATGAGAAGTTGCGATTTTTGCCGGCACCCACGGAGGCCATCTGAAGGGTTTGACATTTGGAAACCAGTTTTGTGTGGATCTCTATAGCTGTAATTTACCCTCTGGTAAACTAACATAGCTATTGAAAATGGCCATTTATAGTGGATTTACCCATTAAAAATCGTGATTTTCCATAGCTATGTTAGTTTACCAGAGGGTAATGTATGCAGGATCATATACATTGAAGATGATACAGTCTACACGTACAGTACATTCAGAGTGTATAGTGGATGGAGGGATAGATGGATAGATGAATAGATAGATAGATAGATAGATCGATAGATAGATAGATAGACAGATAGATAGATAGATAGACAGGTAGATGGGTAGATTGGTAGATATGTATATGTAGATATGTATATATATATATATATACATATGTACGTGTGTAATTAATTACATACATACATACATTACATTACATTACATTACATTACACTACACTACATTACATTACATTACATTACATACATACATACATATGTATATATATATAATTATGTATATATATATATACACACGTATATATACACATGTGTGTGTGTGATAAAATATGTTTGTTCGCAACACGGGATCTGTGAGTAGAGGCACAAGAAATTTGGTGTGCTTAATCAGCACAGTGTGCCTTGTGTGTTTTGCGTTCCAGCCAAATCAACACTGATTGGCTGTTCTACGGCAACATGTCTCAGCGCACCTCACTCTTGTTGATATGGTTAGCAACACTTCATATAATGTGGTATGCCCATGGATCAATACCAATAAATAACAATAAATAGTTTTCTTTGGGATGAAGATCGATTTACCCGCTATTTTGATGTGAAAACTAGGCGTTTTGATCCATCCCCACTGGTACATTCGCTTGCATAGAGAGAGAGAGAAAAAGAGAGAGAGATCAGCTCCAGGGGCCAGAGCGCACAGTACCTCAAAGCGACTCAACTCCAGGCGCTGGTAATGTTACCGCTCCCGGAAGACCGCGGGTGGGTTGCCGGGTAAGTTTCACACGAATATGGCATGGAAATGTTGGGTATTTGTTTGGTAGAGTTTTGCCCCCTGCAAAATTGGCTCGGATTGGCTGACAACAGACAATTGGATGGTTTTTGAGGATTCAATGATGGTCGAATACTATTGAAATGGCCAGCTGTAGTTGGATGCATGCTCTCGCAACCTGTTAAAGTTACCAACATCCATGTGCATATATTGAATGTCCGCATCAGAATCCATCAGAATCCATCGAATCCATCAACAATTCCCAAGATGTTTCAAGCATTCTCAAAACAAAAACTTGAAAAAGAGGTGGAAAAACAATTCCCTTCCAGAAATAATCCATTATTAATCCATGATTAATCCATTCCCTTCCAGAAATCTCCCTTCCAAGATCCACCAGCCAGATCCAAAAACAACGGCCGTAGGCCGCCGGACCTGGCGCTACGTCGGCTTGCTGGGCGGAGGTGCCATGATGGCCATGGCCGATGGTTCATCCGGCTGTCATGTTGTATCCATGTACTGGTTGGTGGTTTGGAGCATTTTTTATTTTCCATAATATATGCAGGATGGTGCCCCCCAGTGATGTTTGTTGGTTTATAAACCCCATGAATACTATAGTTATATCTACCATAAACCATAGTTATGGGAGTTATAAACCAACTTAGCTAACTATGGGGCACCACCTTGTGGGATAATCCTTCCCATTGACTCATATGTTTCAAGATGATTAAAACATATTAAAACCACCAACCAAAAAAAAAATGTTCTATTTTAGATTGATCATCTCGTTTTAATTCATCTTTATCGGTCGTTTTGGATATCCATATTGTGTGAAGAACATATCGATCTTTAGCCCCCAGAGCTGCATTGAAAAGCCGTTTTTGAAGGTATCCCTTTCTTCACGGCCAATGGTGCAGAGCCTCCACCAGTGACCATGAGCCAGCAAGAGCTGATGCTGGTGCTGCCTGGCTGCCAACAAGAGCTGATAGCTGGTTAAGATCTGCCCAAACATGAACCCTGGCCATCCCTGGCCCTAACAGGCCTCAACATTGGGAGGGTCACCTGTAGCAGTTGCGTGTACAAGTAAACATGAAAGTTGTAGCCCACCCCACTCACCCCACCCCAACTACAACACAGCAGCAGCGACGTGCTGCAGTATACAAGGGGAGTCATTCCCGATTCATGGCCTTAAATCTGATCTGGGTCTGATCTGGGAGTTAATCCAGATTGATGGTGTCTAAATAAGCGTCCAGATACATTGGAAGGATTTGCTGCTAATATGAAGTTGGAGAAAGATATCAAGTTGGAGTGTTTTGTGAAATTTCGGCGCAGAAAGTTCCTATCTTCGTCCAGCCACAGGCTTTCTCTGTGCAGACATTTTGGAATCCATCCCAGACAGATTGGCTTTGCCTACGATCCTACTGGAGCATCCGTTTGTCGGGAGCGACTGTCCCTGGGCCCGGAATCCGACGAAGTCTCATTGGTTGCTATATCATCTTGATATACCTCAGGATGGCTGTATACAAACTGATGCCAAATGCCATGAAATAGAATGCAAACATTTTGTACACCTCATATCTGCTGGCAGAGTCAGGTTCCTCGACATCAAGTACTTGCAGCGAGCAAGATTGCTTCAGAGCCAGGCAGGGCGGGTGCAGATGTTTTTGTCGCTGTGTTATATGAACTTTTGCACAAGTGATTTACATGTGTTCCGTCATTGGATTTCTCTTTCTTGCTGTATATTGATGTGTTACAGTGATTTATAGCAAGTTATAATTTATAACTTGCTAATCATTTACAATGATGTATAATCATTTATGTGATATTATATATTATAATATTATATAGATATATATATATATATTTATATAGTGACTTGGAATGATTTACCATGTACATCATGTGCTTCCCGGCTGTGAGTTCATCCAGGCCGGATACCATGCGGTGGCATCCTTTTGGGCAGGAAAAATGGCACGCATGCTTGGGAATTTGGGCTCCTTTGGCGTAATTTGGGGTTCGAAGGATTTTTCAGGGAAAATTGATGACAATCGGCAAAGCTTACCTTGGATTTTTTTGAGCCAACACCCTCCCTGTTCGGAGGGGTTCTTGCAAATTTCCTTTGGACCTCTGGGAGATGCGCCATGCTGATTTGGATGTGGGGTTTCCCTACTATTTGGATGACTGTTACCGCAACGATTCAGTTCGGTTTTAGGGGTGCCCTTTGCTAATCCAACATAGATCAACATAGCAATGCGGAACTTCTGTTCAAACTTAGACTTAGAATATAAATTCGGCATCCACGAACGGGAGAGTCCTCATCACGGGGCCGTGTTAGAATGAAAAATGATCCCTGGTCAGTGGGTATTGGGTGGACTATTGGGTGGACCCCCAATAAATTGGTCTGTCTGAAAAATTGGGGAATCCCATGGTTTGGGGCCGATCCCCACTCTGAGACAGAGGCTAAATGATGTTCTAAACCTAATCACATCATATAACTGTTTACAAAATGTCTTTTGAGGTTCGTTAAACCAGTTACTTTTTTTTTGTAGATTTCATACCCATGTTCATCAGGAATGTTTGTTGTCGTTATGTTGGTGACTCGAAGATCCAGATGTTTTTTGTTGGTCATGTTGACAACCCCCTTGTTTTCACATGGTCAAAAGTCAAGATCTCCCCATGACAGAAAAATTCTGATGACAAGTTTCTATAAGTTTCCCATAAAGTTTCTATAAGTTTCTATAAGTTTCTATAAGTCCTAGACACCCTAGTTTTGTTGGTGAAAAAGTTTCTATAAGTTTCCCATAAAGCCCCCAGGAGTTGGTGGTTTCAAATATGGGAAACTCAGCTGCCCTTCCTGGATGATCTCAGCTGCTTCCCAGGTCAAGTGCCCTCCGCAGGAGCCTCCGCATTCAGGGACCACTTGCTGCAGGAGGCAAGCGCCGGGGTGATGGTCATCTGGCCAGCCCACAGTAATATAATATATATATATATATATAGAGATAGTTTACTACCTTTTCTTTGCCAGTATATGATTGTAAATGGGAACAGTAATGGAATATGTACAGTAGATATATATATATACTATATACACATACATATGTATATACATATATATATATATGTACATACCTACATACATACATACATACATACATACATACATACATACATACATACATACATACATACATACGTGCATGCATCCATCCATACATACATACATACTAAGAAGCTAAGAATATGATGTTCTTGCAGGGTGTCTCAGGTTGGCCATGATCTGGACAGTGAACTACAAACCCCAATGAGTCTAGTTGCAAACCTTGCAAGTTGGGTTACAATGTTTTATAAGTGGGCAATGACCATCTATTTCACCACGTGACACGTGATAAATTTCACCTGATCCCTGCATAAGGAGAAGTAGCCCAAAATGACCTGAATTCAGGGTAGTGAAATGTTTTAATTCAGATAAGGTATATGATAGACTTGGGAAAAGAATGTGGCGAAACTTGGGAACTGCAGGCCTCCAACTTGATCAAGTCCCATGTTTGTTGAGGATACAGTTGTTTTTAGATGTTTCTAGATCCTAATCTTGACCTGCCAAATCTATGGGTTTGCCCAGAAATAGTTGTATACTCCAAAATATGGAAAGTTTGAAATTATTTCATGGGGAAAACGATCATGAACTGATATCAATGTTTTCCGACAAACCCATATGGTGGGCCCCTGCTCGCTAGATACCTTGACATACTTACACATGAGTAATATGTTGCAATCAGTGTGTAGAAATTGACACTGATTGGATGATATTTAGTTTTATTTATTATATCTACCAAATTTATCCACATTGTAAAAATTGGGTAGATGGGGAATGTCTTGTGGCATTGGGTAAACACCGCATTCACAGGCTCCCATTGGGTATGGTTCATAATGGCCCTCCATGGATTGTAGTGACTTGGGTTTGGTTCATTCTGATAACCAAATTGTGTGTTTGGGTGGTGTGAATATTCAGCAAGATTGGGTATGGGCTATACAGTCAATAGTAACCCACAATTGGTTTAAAATGGTCTGATGTCTTGTTGCGTTAGGCCCTGAAAATATCTTCAGGATTGGGGGGTCATTCTGCCGCAATCTTTGCTGTGTTTCAAGTGTGTGTGACATCTTGCCGCATCGGAGTGCTGGGTTTTCTGAGGTCTTACCTGCTATTTTCCAAGCAGACGGTGACTTTCATTGAGAGCTTTCTCCTCCCATGGTATCTTAGATTTGTGACTAGGACAAGGACAGAATGGCTGTCCCATGAAGATTTGGATATGGTCCAAAATTATCCAAAGGGCAACCCAATGCCATACACCTACCATTTGGGGATGGTTAAAAAGCCACCCATTTATCCATTTACCACCCATTTAACCATTTTAGGTGAGACCGTTGGTGACAGCCTGACAAAGAATGTCCAATATCCTGCTGCACAGTTTTGCGGGGTTGACCGTCTCTGAAAAGATTTGGGAATGTTCAAAGGTGAGGGACCTTAGAATCCATCAAAGCGGGTTCTCTTTGCACGCCAGTGATCACCAGTGAGTTCTCTTGATACACCAGTGATTACTAGTGGGTTTGAGGCATTCCTCATTTTTGGACAAACCCATTTCAAGATGGAAGTAGACAACCTTGCACTTTGCGAGAAAAAAACAAAAGATTAAAACGCAAACAAACGTGCTTCCATGTTAGATGTTTTGGTTCAGGCACATTGATCAGTTGAACCAGCAATGGCCAAATACAGTATTGTGCTTACAAAGAAGCTAGGGCATGATCATAAAGTAAAGTAATTTGGTGATTGTTTGAGCATGCTTTATAGGACTTGTTCAGGGACCCTTGCAAAACAAAGGATGTCAATGGACGATGGGAAACAACCTTACTTAGTTCACCTTGGTTTTCATGTATGCTCTGTGCATGTAGTCTTTTAAACAAGCCAGATCTAAGATTTTGCAATGATATAAGTTCAATACATATATCATATAATCATATACATGTAAGTGTCTCAATTATTTCTAAATGATCAATCAAATGTAAGGCATCTCAAATGTAAAAATGATACCAGAAAAATACGTAAGTAGATGTTATATTTAATGAGTACATGAACTTTTATATTTGATTTATATAGTATATACTGAATCAAGAATTGATTAATCATCATAATCATCATCATCCTCATCGTCATCATCATCATCGTCGTCGTCGGCGTGAGAACAGTAGAGTAGGGTAGAATAGAGAAGAATAGAGTAGGGTAGAGTAGAGTGGAGAAGAGAAGAGTAGAGTAGGGTGGAGTGGGGAAGGGAAGAGCAGGGTAGAGTAGAGTGGAGAAGAGCAGAGTAGGGCACAGTATGGAAGGGTAAAGTAGCGTAGAGTAGAGTTGAGAAGAGCCGAGTAGAGTGGGATGGCAGAGTAGAGTGGAAAAAAGATAAATATAGTTAGGGCAAAGTGGAGTAGGGAAGAGTAGGGTGGGGTAGAGCAGAGTAGAGAAGCGATAAGTAGAATAAGGTGAAGTAGAGTAGAGTAAACAAAAGTAGGATGGAGTAGTCTAGAGAAGAGCAAGAATTGAGAAGATTCAAATAGGGTAGAGTAGATAGAGAAGAACATAGTAGAGAAGAGTAAAGAACAGATAGTAGGGAAGAGCATAGTAGAGAAGAGTATGGTAGAGGTGGGTGGAGTAGGGAAGAGTAAAGTAAGGTAGGGTAGAGCACATAGAATGGAAGAGAAGAGTAGGGCCGAATAGAGAAGAGAAGAGTAGGATACAATAGAGAACTACAATAGAGAACGACAAATTAAAGTTAGTAGAGGGCTAAGAGCAACGTAGAGTAGCGTAAATTGGAACAAGAAAATAAAAATAAATAAAAAAACAAAAAATAATTAATTATTAATTTAATATAATATAAGGAAAATATATAAAAATAAATTAAATTAGATATTAATTAAAATTTAATATATTTTATAAATTGAAAAATATATATATATTATATATATTTATTTTTATAATATATATAATAATAATTAATAATATTAATATATTATTAATATTTATTAATAATTAAAAAATATAAATAATTAATATATAATTATAAAAATTATAAAAAATATATATTTATTTATTATATATTGGAAATAAAATAATAAAAAATAAAATAATTATTATCTAAATATATATAATTTATTAATACATAAATATACATATATAATTAGTATTTATTTAATAATAATTATATATATAAATATGAATATATTTTTTTGAAGATTAATATTTTTTTCTATATATTATTTATTGGGTTTATGTTGTTTTTTGTTTTGTTTTTTTGAAGTTGTTTTAGGTCGATATATTGTGGGAAAATATATATAAAAAATATATGTGATATTATTATTTTATTGGATTATTGCTTATTATAAAATTAAAAATATATAGGCACATTGAATTTTACCAACATGAATTTACCATTTATACTTATAAACCTTAACGTTGGGATACATTGGGTATCATAAATATATTTATTTATTATTTAATTTAATATTTGTAATATGCAAATGCAGTGGCATGCTCGATTAAAGAAAATATCTGGCCCTGGGAATTTCAATGATTTTATACAATACAACAGATCTTGTGCTAACATCGGTGTCTGCCGTTTGGTGCCAGTGGGTTCAAGTTTGGGAATCTTATAATAAGTGCCAATGATAAAATCGTGTGCCAAATCGTGGTGTGCCAATAGAATTTCTATCTGGGGAAAGATTATTGATTTTTGGCGTAAGCGGTGTACCATGTTGTTGGCGCAAGTTCTAGCAAATGGTATAGGATCACGTCGGGGCTCGGGTCAGGGATGTTTTGCACGATTTATTTGGTACTAGGTATGCCATTAGGAAATAGATAGTTAAAGTACCGAAATCACACGAATCCATGTCCAGAATCATGAGAAGGAAACGGGGTGTATATTGCAAAATTGGTTATTTTTTTCATTTGGATGGAAGGTAGCTACTTTGCTGTCAATGCGTGTGTGCCAATTGCAATTGCCCATTTTCAATATGATTTTATCACAAAAGGAGATGGTATTAAATATATGGATCGCAATAACACGGATATATTCTTTATATTTTCTTTGTCAAACCAATGATGGCGTGGTATCAGTGTGCCAATAGGATTTGATTCCTGGGGTAATTTCCGGTTGGATTGGGGTAAGCCTGTGTGCCATTGGGATGGTAATTTCTGGTTGCCTGGGTTAAGAATCCATCCAATATTATATAAAATAAATAAATTTAAAAATATAAAAAAATATAAAATATATTTTATTTACGAAAAAAATACATATATTTAATTATAGATTTTTTTTCCCCAGATTTTTTTTTATTCAAAATAGATGTTATTTATAAATATATTTATCCTTAAATATATTATTTATCCAGATATTTTTTTTTCAAATATTTTTTTTTTAAGAATTATGTATTTTTTTTATTTGATTTTCTTATTATTTATATTAAAAAATTATAAATTTAATATAATAATAATAAATTTAAAAATATAAAATCGAAATATTGAAAATATTTTTAAATTTTAATATTAAAAAAATTAATTTTACTTAATTTAATTAATTAAAATTATTGAATTTTATAATAATAAATAATATAATAATTTAATAATATATATAAATATATATTTAATTAAATTAATACAAAAATAAATTGTAAAAAATAATATAATTTAATAAATTTAGAAATATATTATTTAAATTATTTTTAAAATTATCGATAATTAAATATATATTTTTTTCTAAAATATTAAATAATATTAAATATCCAAATTATAATTAAAATTTGTAACAATTCGAAATTATATAAATAATTTAAATATTTATAAATTATAAATAAATACATAATAATAAGAATTATATATATTAATGGGAGAAAATGGAAATAAATAAATAATTTTATTTTATTTTATAAATTTAATATATTATTTTTTTAATATATAAAACCATATTTAAATTTAAAAAATATAAATAAATAAAAAATTTAATAATATAAGTTAAATTAGTTTAATTATAATATATTATAAAAATTATTTATATTTTAAAATTTAAAATATATTTATTATATTTTTAATTTTATATAAAATTTATATTAATTTAAAAAAAATTATTATTTTTTTTTAATAAAGATCAATAATTATTATATTTATGTTTATTATTTTTATTTATTATAATTATATTTAAAATTATATATTTATTAATATTTAAAAATTAAATTATTAATAAAATAGGAATTATATTAAATAAAAAATAGAAATCGAAAAATTATTATATATATTAAAAAATTAAAAAAATAAAAATTATTAATATTATAAAAAATCAAAAATTTAAAAAATAAAAAAATCAAAGCCAAAATCAATTTTATATTTATATAATATAAATAAAAATTTCAAGATTAATATTATTTTTTTTTATTTATTATTAAATTTTTATATTATAATTTAAAAATATTTTTTTTTTATTAAAATTATATTTTAATTATTAATAAAAAATTAATATATAATTTATTTTATTTATTAAATAAAAATAATAATTATTATTAAAAAAATAATAAATTTGTAATAAATAGCAATATAACCCAATTTTTTTCATTAATAATTAACATATAATTTATATGTAACAATATTTATTTCAAATTTATTTATAACCAAATAAAGAATAATATAATTGTATTTTTTTAAAATAAACCAAGAAAAATTATTTTAACAAATCGTTATATATATATATATTAGATCAAGATATTTCTTATAGGTATTCTGGATTAGAATATATATATTTATAATAATATTTAAAAAATACCTATTAGATTATTGTTCCCCAAAGTTGCTCCCCAGTAGTCCCCAAAGCCGCCCACCTGATCATGATGATCATGACTATGTTGGTGCTGACGAGGATGATGATAATGGTGGTGATTACGATGATGATGATGATGATGATGATGAGGATGATGATGATGATGATGAGGATGATGATGAGGATGAGGATGAGGATCAGGATGAGGATGAGGATGAGGATGATGACGATGACATTGAAGATGAAATTGAAGATGAAATTGAACTTGAATTTGAAGATGAAGTTGAAGATAAAGATGAAATTGAAGATGAAGATGAAGATGCGCGGCCTCTGAACCCGAATTTGAATCAGGGAGGGGGAGGAGGGGCAGTATATTTGACAGTTTCAGGAATCCAACCGTCCTGCTACCTGCCATTCCTTGCTAAAGCAAGAGCAACTTCAGCTAGCACAAGCTTGCTTTAATGTCATATATTGCACAAATACATCAGGAATGTTCGAATTATTATGATTATGATTATTATCATCATTATCATTATGATTGTCATGATATATATATATATATGTGTGTGTGTGTGATTATGTGTGTGTGTGCGGGTTGTATCGATTTATGAAATAGAAGATATCCGTATCCCGATCCTTCCAAATCCGATTTCCAAAACTTGAGGCCGGGGGTGGATGACGAAAGCTAGCGGGGTAGGAGAAAGAAGGAAGGGAAGAGGTGAGTTGCGGAGGGACTGTCATCATCGTGTCGCGGCATTGTTCGTCCCAACGAGGATGCAACAATGATATATTGATATATGATGTATAACAATAATATATATGGGGGAGGGGGCAGGGGGGGGCCCTTTCGCGGGAAAAATCACGTGATGTCCTTGGGGAGCCCCGGAATACGTGCTAAAGCAAGAAGACTCTAGCGAGCTGACGCTAGCTTTCGTGATAATGACAATAATTGCCAATAATGATAAAAATGTAATTGAATAACGATGATGATGATGATGATGATGATGAATGATGAATGATGAATGATGAATGATGAATGATCAATGATGAATGATGAATGATGAAGGATGGATGATGAATGATGAATGATGAATGATGATGAATGAATGAATGATGAATGATGAATGATGAATGAGAAGATGAATGATGATGATGACGATGGATGCTGATGATGATGATGATGACGATGACGATGATGATGATGATGATGATGATGATGATGACGAGGACGCGGACGAGGACGAGGACGATGGAGAGGACGATGACGATGATGATGACGATGATGATGACGATGATGATGACGATGATGATGACGATGACGATGATGATGATGATGATGATGATGATGACGAGGACGCGGACGAGGACGAGGACGATGGAGAGGACGATGACGATGATGATGACGATGATGATGACGATGATGATGACGATGACGATGACGATGACGATGATGATGATGATGATGATGGTGGTGGTGGTGGTGGTGGTGGTGGTGGGGGAGGGGGGGGGCCCTTTCGCGTGAAAAATCACGTGATGTCCTTGAGCAGCCCCCCCAATACTTTCTAAAGCAAGAAGACTCCAGCTAGCTGACGCTAGCTTTCGTGATAAGATTATCAATGTAACGAATTGTCCCTTATATATTCTATTTCAATGCGTTCATGTCAAATGATATCTATACATAATATGTTTTTTATTTGAGGATTGTTCTAATGTCTGTCTTACCTTCCATATGAACCGTCTGCATTTGCTGGCCCACCTCAGTTGGGATGCATCGCACCTGTTTCCCAATAAATCCAATACAGTAAGTACGGCCTGTTGCTGATTGGTGGTTTCAATAGTCAACCCATCTGAAAACATATCATATGATCATCTGCCACCATCGCAAATATGCTTGAAAATGTTGTCTGAAACCATGGTCAATCAGTAGTCCATAAAATATTTATCTTTTGCTGGTTGCAGTGATTTTCCATTTATTTATAGCAAAAAATAAAAAATAAAGGGTTAAACAGCAGTTAACGAGATTTAACTACCAATCCAAGGTTGGGATGAAACAACCAGCCGGGAATGCAAAAATTATGGGACCCCCCACCATCACTTGGAGGTCTGCCTTCTCCAAAGCCTGATCTACACAAATTCAGAGACAGCATGGCACACAGCGGGATTCAAATGGGCCTGTAGAGTTGCCAGGCTCGGCGTTGCTGAAGCCTGATGGCGGCCTTCAAACACGCTGCGACCAGTGTTGGACAAACGTTTGGAAAAACATTGCTAAATATCCGATGTGATCAAATTATATCAAGTTTTCATCTCCCAAATATTTAAGCCAAGATAGACTTGATTTCACCCACGCAAATCACAGTCAGAAGAATGTCATTGGATGCTCATGCCACAGCAACAGCAGCCTTCTGGGTGGTGGTGACCGTGAGCCCCTGCTGCTCCCACGACTGGCAAACCGTTGCTGTCTCCGTGGGGGCGAAGGGGACCTCGGCTGCAAGATGTGCTTTTCTGGGAGCATACAAAGCCCCCAGACCCATTGATTAATGGGACTGGGTAGAACGATAATATGACCACAACCAAGAGCAGTAGGACCCGAAAAGTTGACTGGGAGCAAGGGCGCGTTTTAATGGATAGAAATGGCACTGCAGCGGATAGAAACGGAAATCCCTACTGATCCTACTTCTTTTTGATGGGTTTGCCGTTTGCATGGAGGGATCACCCTGACTTCGACAAAGGATGACGTTGGCTTCAGACTCCAACTCGCTTGGACCGTCGAAGAGCTGCTTGCGTCTTTCTGCTGACATGATGCTCCTGTCACATCTCGCCCCAGCATGATCCAACCATATCCAACCCCTGGTTTAGTAACGAAAGCATACTACATCATTTGATCAGATAGTATGTGAATGTATGTGATGTTCGAGGAACCACAGCACGAGGGCTAGCTTCGGATCTTCCCAGGTGTCCTGCTTCCTTCGCCGGCCCCACCACCTTTGCCACCACCTTTACTACCTGAGCACCGGACACCGTATGGATAGGATCTGTGGGTCCCTCAGCAATCGCAGCTGCACTGCGGGCACCTTTGTCACCTTTCGGAAATCCACCGCCTCCACCTCCTCCACCTCCACCTCCTCCACCTCCTTGCACCTCAACATCGTACAAAAGCTGGCAATAAAGTACGAGCTGGAAGCATTCCAAAAGCATCAAAAGCCAAAAGCCACCTGGCACTAGAACACTAAAGAGTGTAAACATAATGCTGCATGGTTATATACTTCATCTCAGGTACAATGCTTTTGTACACATCTGTTCAACTGTTCCGGTAAAAATAAAGAATAGGTTTCCGTGGCCCTTCAACATTCCAAGAGGAACTTGCAGCAAGTCTGACCAATCGCCTGCACATTCTTGGCGCAGTTCTTGCCCTGCACGTGGGGGCTGGAAAGGCCCACTGAACTGGCCATGGGTCAAAAATGAGTTGCCAGGAACTCCATCAAGCCATGTTCAGAATGAAACCAGATAAAAAAATCTCAAACCCTCCAATTTCGGAGCTTCAGAACTTTCATCCCCATCTCAGTTGGCCCGGGCCTTTCGATCATCGAACTCGATGTCAAAGCTCACGCGATCTCCAGCCTGCAGGGTGCAGTCGCCTCCGCGCTGGTAGCTGCCTCGGGGAATTCATGCTGTTGCCACTAAAGATAAGTGGCGGTTTGCCAAGTGAAGTTAATTGGGTCGAAATGGGGCCCCGCGGCCCATCCGAAGTAGCGGCCCCAACTCTGTGATCTAGTGACCAAAAGAATGACTTCTCCAAGTCGCGAGGCAGCGATGAGAAGTGAACAAACCTGGAGCAACTGGGCATGGGCGTCTGGGAGAAAAGATCAGCTAAAGGCCACAGGATGGGACGACAAGTGCGGCACAGTGGCAAATCTTTGTCGCCACCATCAGGAGCGATAAATCCGAAGCCCTTCTCTCCGTCCCAATTGCTGACCTCCGCGACTTGAGAGCAGGCGGAGGCGGACGAAAGGTAGTGTAGTGGGAGAGGAGTGGTGTCAAAATGCTGCGCCCCTAAGATGATACACCAAAAACTTTTTTGCGCAGTCTAAGATGATTTTATCCAGAGCATGACTGCATGATACGGTGTCTTGTGCAGCGTGAAATGATGCACGAAAAGGGGTTTATTAAAAACCCCTTTTTAAGACCCCTTGCAGCAACTGTTATTGAGGCTGAAGCAAACCAATTATGCTGGACTACAGGGACATCTCCCTCATGGAGAGTGTGCCTCTACTGTGGCGGACCGTGACTGCGTCACCCGTGGGAATTGAACCCATGACCATTTTAGAGGCGGGGGCCCTTATAATTGATATCTAATACATAACGTCGAGAAGTCTACGTTTTCCACGGGCTGGCCCCCAATACCCTATGATTGTGCTGAAGCACGGAGAACTTGTGCACTCAACAGACTCTGTGACAAATCACATCTTGTCCTAGCACCCCGGGGTTACAAATTTCGTAAAATGTTACAATCCAAGTGCAAAGGGAGCTACCACTGCTGGACTTGCTCGAGAACTGGCATAGTCATCCAAGCGTCCCAACAAATGCACACATCTTTGCAGCCAAATCGCACTTCCCTGTGAACGTCCGCCACCACCGCCACCGCTACCACCACCCCAACCACCACGTTGTCCATAGCTTGCTCCACCACCTCCAGCACCACCTCCATGCGAGGGATATCGCTTGCCATGCCCGCAAGGTAATCCCTTGGTACTCCCTACCCCCTAATAACCTGCTAGAAACCGTGGTAAGGATTGGATCTGTTTATTTCGGGGCCATTTATGGAAACCAATTATTATGGCTACCTAGAGGTTAAAGATAATGTCAAATAGTTATAGCTCCAACCCTGTACCTTTGACAGAAATACAGCTGAACCATGCTGAATCCTTCCTGTGTGACCATTGCAACACTGATTTTCATGGCGGCCTTCCATCTGCACATTCTTCGCACAGGGCTTACCCTGGCATGTAAACTTCTGCTGCACAAGTAATCAGCTGCAAGTCCACTTGATTTGACACTGTACCATACCGTGCTGCACCCCTTCAGTAGTGCAGCCTTCTTTTGGTCAATTTCATGATCATAAGTGACCTGCAGCCATTGAACGAGACAGTAGAATCAGAAGGCAAGGGCCGACCCCTGCTTCAAAAAAAGCATGAAGTACTGAGCACCCGGCCCTGTCCCCTGGCTGTAGCACGCTGTTACCACCTCGCTGGTAGTCCCGGGGCAAGCTCGAGAAGTGGACGAAGATGTCCTGAAAGCTAGTCGCAACTTCGAGGAGTTGTCCGACACTTCCTTTCTAATCTCCTGGACTCTCCATTCTGTTTTGGCCTTTGGCCTACTTCGCTACTCAATCTGTGTCTCTGATGAATTCACCCAAGAATCACCTGCCTCACTTCCACGGTCAGGCTTGATGAAGCCAAAACCCTTTTCTTCATCATACTTCAGGATGGCTCCTGGCACCGAAATCTCTGACTGAACTTTAGCTTGAACCCCAAGGCCTGGCAGAACAAATGGTGAAAGAAAACCTTGAGGCTTGGTGAAATGGAAAGCAAAGACACCCTAATACCCATCTGCCCTGTCGGTGGGCCTCTGGAGCGGCCACCATCATCGCGGAATCCACCTCCACCACCCCTTCCACCTTCAAGCAGTCAGAAATAGTCAGAAATCTTGTCATACTAGATCTCCAAATAAATCCGCACAACCAGTCTCTGAAACAGCAGCATGCCTACATTCAAGGACCAGTTCTTCAGCTCAACCTCATCTACCACAGCCGTCTGCGGATCCTCACCTCCTTTGTCTCCCCAGTCATTTCGCCGACGACTGCGGCTTCTCTCCCGGCCTCTTAGAGCCGACTTTTTGGGGGTAGCCTCCCCGGTTTTTGATCTACCAGGGTGAATGAAACAAGGGGTTGACACTTCAGCTGTTATATATTGTTATATGTTAAAGTCATTGCCTTACTGGCCACTCAGACCTTCAGCGTGGTCAAGACGCACATCTACATGCATATGGCACTTACTAGTTTGCGTGTGTGCGGATACATTTTATATCAGTGATTATCTCTGTGTGTCTTTGATTAAAGAACTGCCCAACTTTGGGTTCATCACTAAGTTCATCACGGTTCATCTATGTTCGTTCCAGGCCTCCACCTCGAGGCGGTGTCCGGCTGCGCTGGCTGCGCTCGCGGCGCTCACGCGGAGGCGGCGAACGCTCACCTCGCAGCGCATCAAGGCGCAGGCCCCAAACTGCAGATGGGGTGGGCCACCTGCTTGGACCCCCAAAAAGCTGCGCATGTTGGGGAGCTTGGGGGAGAAAAAAAAAAGATCGGATTTTTAATAACGATAGGAATATCAAACTGTGGCAAAAAGTTGTTACTTTTGACTTTTGACCCATATATCCCATACGATGAAATATACCTCGAGTATCATGCAGACCTCATGCCAAAACCATCCCATACCTGGTGCCATACCTACATCTTGGGGTTCAAAGAACATGCCCAACAGCTCTGACAAGGGACGTCGCGGTGGGCTGTGGCTCCGTTCCCTTCTCCTGCTCCGCGGTCGGCTGCGGGAAGCTTCCTCACAGCAGGGTCATCTGCCACAATCACAGAGGGCTTCATGAAATGCTTTAAATCCTCTTCCGTTTTGGGGGAACAGTGAAGCAAACATGTGATGCCAGTCCTCCAGTCGGAAACACTCGATGGGCCTTCCCGCAACCGGGAGATTGTGGAAGGTGCTGATAACCTGTGAACATTCGGCACTGCCAGGTGCTCTGCAGCTAAAACAGCTGCAACAGCTGCAACAGCTGCAACAGCTGGGCCTGGTCTGCCAATGCATGTCCCGAGACTTTCACAATGGCGCTCATGGTGAATTGGACAGAGTCGAACTGAAGGCCCTGGAGGAGAAGTTGACAAAATATGAACCCGTGAAGCTTGCGCCCTACCCCAGCTTCGTTACAAGGCACCAACTTCCTGTATGAAAGCCTTGCTTGATTTGGGTTCAGCAAACATAACAAATCTACCAATGGCCCATCACAACACGTCACGCGAACCCACAAGTAGTTCAATCCAAATTTTACCCAGCAGAGGCATTGGAATGCCTTCGAATTGAAGAGGCTGCGAAGTGCGGGCTCCTGGGGCGACCCCAAACCCATTGGATTTGGCCCGTGGGGTGGCCATCTGGGACCTCCAAGTTCCGGGTGTTCGACAGGGTCAAAACCAACCAGTTACCAGTTACCACTGAGCGCACAACGGATGCGTCCATTGGCAACCCCTTCAGCTGCAGTTCCACAGGCTCCGGCAACGGAACCCCCCGGCCTCAGGTAGCACGAAAATCGGCCGTTGTAAGGACTACCCCACCAGATTCAATGATTTGTCCATCAAGGAAAAGAAGGTGCGTGAAAGCCATCACATGCCCAAACAAGAAAAGGATAGCAGGATTCTCTCTGATTCGGATCAAGACTGAGGAGCGCACCAAAGCCTTCAAATCCACCCTTTCCTTCTCTTCTACCACCTCTGTCATAGTCCCTCCTTCGATCGTCTTCTCTGTCATCCCTTCTTCCATCCCTTCGGTCAAAATCTCGACTCCGCTCCCGTCGGCCCTTGCCGTCGTAGCTGCCCCTTCCGTCGCGCTCGTCCCGGACGTCGCGCCGCTCGTGGCCCTTGCCATCAAAGCTACCGTAACTTCCACCGTAACTTGGAGGCGGGTAGCCACCACCATACATGTCATGAAATCCAGGGCCATAGTTGGGTGCACCTTGCCCTGCATGCGGTGGTGGAGGTGGGGCTCCTTTTCCATCATAGCCGTAGCCCCCATATCCTGGTGGATAGTTCGCAGGCGGATAACCAGCTGGATAGCCTCCAGGGGGTGGATAGCCATACCCTTCCGGTGGAGGGTAGTAGCCACCATTGCCTCCATAGCCAGGTGGGCCATCAAAACCCCCAGGCGCCCCTCCATATGGCATGCCATCTGGCGCCTCTTTGCCTGGCTGATGGGATCTAGGGGGGGTGTGGGTTTAAAGATCTATGCAGGGTGCCCCAAAAAATCAAAAACTGTTTCTTTTATGTTCCAAGATAAGTCATCTAATTGTGGATTCTTGCTGGTCTCCAAATCTAGACATCGATTTGTCCTCACTGGTCCATCTTCTATGATTTCCTAATGAGATTTGATGATGAATAAGCATGGGTCATTTTACCCCTGCTCTCCAAAATCAACGAAATATTGATTTTATCTACACTTCGAAGTCGAAGTGAACATCTTCCGAAAATTATGGCTTGCACAATGTATTTGAATAAGAATGTCCTTCCGATTCCCCCCCCCAAAAAAAAGCAATTCTGGGATCATTCAATTCTTATATTGTCAGTTTTGTCACCCCTTCAATCCGGTGAAGAATGAATCATCTCTAATTTATGCCCATTCCAATGCTCGCTATGTCAGTTAAAGGATACGCAGGTGCGGCCTGGAAAGGATACAAAGGTCCTTTCCGTGCAAAAAAATCTCAGCACACAGTACAGTATCTATTGAATTCCCTCGCTATGGCTATCTTGTATAGACTAGATTAGATTAGATTGGATTGGATTGGATTAGATTAGATTGGATTGGATTAGATTAGATTAGATTCGATAGATAGATAGGATTAGATTAGATCAGTTTAGATTGGATTAGATTAGATTGGATTGGATTGGATTAGATTAGATTCGATAGATAGATAGGATTAGATTAGATCAGTTTAGATTGGACTAGATTAGATTAGATTAGATTGGATTAGATAGATAGCTACAGGATAGAGTAGATAAATAGATAGAAAGATAGAAAGATAGTTCTCATTTCTCAGTGGCCAAGAATTGAAGCACCCTTTTCAAAATCACCACATTGATGGCACGGGTCATCCACCAGACGCCTGGGGGTGGAGGTGGTGGAGGTTGTGGTGGTGGGTCCATGGCCTCAGATGTTGATATTCATGGAAGTTTGAGGGAAAATGGATGAAAATGGTGTCCATGATTACATTCTGCTTGGGCCCGGCCTCGGGCTTCAAGGTGATAAAAAGATCTCACATCTCTTGAGCCAACTCCGCAGCACTTTCTTCCAAGAAAAGAACACTTGCCTCGTTTGACCATGCTGGTATCACCCTGCTGGTATCACCATGCTGGTATCATGCTCCCCGCTCCCACCAACAAGAAACAACTCCCTTTTTCGCAGTCGCAGGCGATGGCTGATGGTTGAGTCCACTTGGAGCTGCAGTTGACCAAGGAAGGATTGCGCAAGCGTTGCCGCGCCACCTGGAGGTCACTGTGGTCCGACTGCCGTGGCGGTCGCACATGCAACGCTGTGATGAACTGCCAGTGTGTTGATGTTTTTTCTCGGTGCCTAGGGTGCAAGCGCTGATGCCAGCGCCAAAGCTGATGGCATCTGGCGAAAGATCTCGCTGAAGCATCTGTTGCAGAAGATCCAGCACAATCCTCCATTCCATCTGCAGCTGCCCAGCTGCAAGTACCTCAACAAATCAAAGAAAGGTGGCAGGATGGAGCAAATGTGCCATTGCATAGGCAGTTTTATGCCCCTGTCATCACAACAGTTGGAGGATATTCATCATGCCTTGTGAAAACAATTGTACCACCCAAATAAGTGGCGAGAACAAGGCTTTCACCAAATGTGGGCAAGGATCAAGACTTAAACCCCCCAACAGATTGAGTGATTCATCAGGACTCATCCATTCAATGCATTGTCAACTTGACAGAGCCGTTGCCAATGGTTTCTCTCCGATGCGCCAAGCTTCTGAATTATATCCGATGACATTGGCCACCTCTGCGTCCATCAAAAGGCGCATGGCTCTCTGCCACTGTCGACCTGGCGGACAAGGGGTGATGGATGGCAAACTGCTGAGAAAATAAAGATGACTCTTTTGTGACACAACATTTTCCATTCTTGTTTGCAATTGCTCGTGATGGGCTGGCTCCACTTCCATTCCCAGTTGCAATTCCAACCATTGACTCTTCAGGTTTCAAGATCTTCAAGCCTTTCCCGCACGTGCTGATGGCAGCATTGAGCACCACGATATTCACTGCATCTGCTGCCCGTGCAGCAGCCAACAACTGCAGGCATTGGCGCCAAAGCCCGAGTTCTTCACACGCAGTGATGGCTGCACCAAAGGCAGTGAGGCTGGTTGACAGTTCCTACATCTCCAAGAATGTGGTCAGGTGACAAGCATAGCCACTGCTGGATGCTTGGAAAAAGGTGTCGACAAACATTAAATAAAAATGATTTCCCTTTGACTGTGGAATATCAGCCAAAGCCATGTCCCAACCTGTTACCCTCTGTCGTTCCACTGGTTAGTTGGGGTTCCCAAGCCGATCATGATGATGTCCCGCCTGCTGCATGTGCTGCAGCAGCATCAGCGACTGCAGCCACTGCAGACCGCGACCACAGGCGCTGATGGCCGAGCTGAAGGTGATCCTGAGAAACACACTGCGGGGGCTCACGACGCTGTAGCATACACTATATAAAACGTTTTTAGACATACGTAATATATATATGTATATATTATTACTATTATTATTATTATTATTAATATTATACGTATGTGTGTGTGTGCATGTGTGAGTGTGTGTGAAAGCGTGTGTACAAACATATTTATATACCAGCATGTACAGTTCGAAGCACGTACAGAAAAAGCATATAAAAGCGTATGCCATTTATACACAGCATAAACCGGACCACTGTTTTTTCACCAAGCCATTTGTGAAATTCCACGATAAGCCAAGCAACTCATCGGCCTGCACCTGGCCCCTCTCCATCCAGCTGAGCATTTCTAAGGCCTGCTGCCAATCGTCACCTCAGTTTCAACGAGACGTGTCAGCTTGGCTCTGAACGGTGGCTGTGAGCGTCAAGCAGAGATAGACTTCGCAAGACAAGAAATGATCCTCAAATCATTGTCACTTTGATGCGATAGAAAAGCTGAACAGATCAAAAAGGTGCTGCACTTTCGGGCGCAACTTCCAAGGCAAGCGCACAAAACGATACCGACTGTACTGCACCACTGTAGTACACGACCACCATTTAAGACAATAAGACAAGACAGGCGAACAATTTTGTCACTTGAGTTGCCAAAACACCTTGCGAGTCCTACCAGTTGAATAATTGCAGAAGTTGACGGACATGCAAAAAGGATCTAAAAGCGATCAAAAACGTCTCCAGGTCAGGGTCATGCTTCTGCCAAGCAACTTCTCCCACATGCACTGATGAGAGTGTTGTAGGTGAACACGTCGGGCACCAGATGCCCTCCGATCTGCTCCAGTAAATCCAGCCCCATGGTCCACAAGCCATGCTTCTCAAAAGCCTCAGAAAATGCCTCCCAACTGCATCACATAGCTTTATGATGCAAAGTTTTCTGCTATTTCTATAAAAGTTGAAAATATTTATTTTAGGAAAAAAATAGGAATCAAAAATAGGAAAAAAAATAGGACATAAAAACAGACTTGACACAGGACTACAAAGCACTTCCCAGTATATTTGGTTTCCTATGTTTTTCCTTTTTGCATTTTTGGACCCTATTTTTGTCCTATTTTTGAATCCTATTTTTTCCCTATTTTTTCCTATTTCTGAACATCTGATTCCAGCACCATACCTTTTTCTTTCCTATTTGTTCCCATGTTTTCCTATTTTTTTTCCTATTTTTTCCTTCTTTTGAATTCGGCTCCCAAAACCGTCAAAAAACGTAAAACACCTCGAAAAAAATAGGAAAAAAAAGGAAAAAATAGGACAAATAGGAAAAAATAGGAAAAAAATAGGAAATAGCTAGCAGCCCATTTTTAGAAAATTAGGAAAAAATAGGAAAAAAATAGGAAAAAAATAGAATTCAAAAATAGGAAAAAAATAAGAAAAAATAGGGGTGGGGGAGAGGAGGGGGAGGAAGCGGGGGGGAGGAGGAAAGGGGTGTGGGAGCGCCACGCTTATTGCTGAATTTGGGACGCGCCGAACGTCACGCAGTTCACAAGTTATTGGCTCATTATTTCAATCGTTTAGCCAGCTCCCCCAAGCAGATGGTGCCTTCAAGATTCAATGTCTGCTTTCGGTTCCTTTCCTTTTCCAATTGCGAACGCAGCAGCAGCAATTGCAATTACTTACATACACGCATGGGACATATCCAAACATTTACATGTATAGATGTAACACAACGCAGGTTGGCAGTGGACCCACATATATCCACAGTGACATTCCTCATAAAATGTGGAAGGCTCTGCTTGTGTTTTGTGTTGGTGTTGTTCCCAAATGTGAAGCTGTGGTTCATCTTGGTTTGGCAGTCCTTTTTTTTCCTATTTGAGTTCTGGAACCCTATTTTTTCCATTTTTTCCAAAAAATAAATATTTATAGAACGAATAGAAATAGCAACATCTCAACATCATAAACATAGCTTTTTCTTAGCTCAGAAAGATCGCTATGTGGCAACCAAAACTCAACCAAGAGACACTCAAGATCCCATTCAACGCCAGCACATCCGCAGCAATCTGATGTTGGGCACCCTGGAAAATCGCCAACGCGGCTGGCCACTCGCCACAGCGGCTACAGGAGGAGATTGCAGTGTTAAAGCTTATCTGGCTGGGCCTCGGCTAGATGAAAATTTCTGGGCGGTCCTGCTTCCAATGCTGATGCACAATTGGAAATATATAGGTATACAAACAGGTGTGGATTGAGAGAATATACGGATAAATTATGATATACTAAGTTACTAGCCCAATTGCTTTCTTTTCCAAACAAAAACTCTTATAACTTGTATATAAGATATAGAAGATCGCAAATATTTTTTCCATCTTCTTTGGGATTGCTGTAGACAGCCGACAGACTCCAAGTTTTTGCCAAGTCTCTTCAGCCCAGCCAGCTGCAAATTCGCCAAAGCTTGGATGGCCAAACGCCACTGCTGGCCCTCCCCACACGCCTGGATGATTGCATTGTAGCAAATCACCTCACCAACTGCTCCGGCACATCCACACTCCCAGTGTAGGAAAATCTGCAGGGAACCCCGGAACCCCTGCATGTTGGGGTAAAGAGACAAGTTTCCCGTAGATGCTACCTTCAACCAATCAATTCATGAAATGAACAAATCAAAATACAATGATGGTTCATAACTGAAATGTCATCCTGAAATACTCTAAATAAGATTTTTGAAGCCCACGGCACATCTGGCGACAGGCGCCCTGTCCGCAGGTCTGCGCACAGGGCTATGGCATCTTCCCATTGAGCTCCCAATGCACTGGCACTGATGGCTGCACTGTATGCAACAACATCCAGCGCCTTTCGACTCGAAATCGTCGAGTACAAAACTACTGCAGTGACGATAGCGGTCCCAAAAGAATGAGACCTTCATTTGTTTTGTGGCACCCCAGCCAATGATTGAAAATTAATCATTCAATATCCTCCGAAAATACTACAATGATTCGACAATGATGGTATAGTGTTTGAAATCAATGACTTTTGCATCTGTTGTGATTTTGCTTCATTGTCATTCTCTTTCTAGATCACTCAAGCTACCAGCCGCCAAGGAGCAGCATCTTCAGAATGATCTTTCAGGCATGAAAAGAGCTCCCGCGCCATTTGCCACTCGCGTGCACTCAGCATTGCTGTGGTGAGGCTACTAAACCTGCGACTGACATGTGGGAAGTAACACAAAGTACAGCAACATATGGTAACAAAGCAGTTGCCATTTGTTGGGTCTTGCCCGGCTGCAAAAACCTAAGTCCCCAATGTCCACCCTGGTGATATTGAACATTTGAATGCTGTCCCAGGCACGTCACAGCATTTGGTTGAACTGAGAGCTGCCCCATACGGTGCAAAACTCCAAGAGCCTGAGGCCATGGAGTATCTTCGCAGATTGCCGCGCTGAAGGTGATGAGGTCTGGCAAACACGCCTCCTAAAAGTGGATTGAAAGAAGGTGCACAAGCTGGACTTCTCAGTCAAAGTGGAAGCAGTCCAAGAAAAATGAATTGCTGCATTTAAGGTGAGCACCTAAAATGACTGCCTGGCAATTCGTCCTTCTCCATTTCTCCTAATAGCCTTGTTGCCAGGGCCCACTCGCTGCTTTTGGCACTTGCACGGATGACCTAGGACCCAAGGCGTCTTCGGTTCCTAATCCCCATCCATTGCGGGCTCGTGTTTTCAATTCCAGGACCCTGCTGAGCCGCTGAGTCGCTGGCATCGGAATAGCTGCGCACGTCTGCGACCAGCTGACAGCGGGACATGCAACCCAGGAGCGCCCAAGCAGAGGACCACTGGGTGCTTTTCGCACAGGCACCTGAGATCAAAAAGGAGGAATGGTCCTGGTGACCTAGTACCATTGCTAATCAGTGTCGTGGCTGATGGTAAAGGGTTTCATCTGCGGAAAAGCCAAAGTGATATGATCTATTCTTTCATATTCTCTTATGCTTCTGATAGTGGGCTCACGGAATGATAATGCAATATCTACAGTATGGATGGCAGATGATGGCAACGATGCAACAATCATGGTCAAGGGCCACCCCGTCACACCCAATGCCGAGCTGCCCAGCGTAGCGCTGAAACTCACCACGTTCGGAAGGATGTCCTGCTGCTGCATGTCATCCAACATGTTCAAAGCTCTCTCCCACTGCAAACCTCCAAGGGCATCTGCCACCAAACAGATTCCATCTGGACTGCTGGCGGAAACAAGACAGGACTCAAGTATTGCAGACAGAGAAACCTTTGCCAAAAGCAATGATTGCAGCATTGCAGACAAAGGTGTCCAATGGAATAGCTTGAGATTGCAGCTGCAGCAGTTCCCTCGATACTCTCTGCCTAACCAAGATATTGTCACATCAATCAAGTTGTCGTTCGGCACTCTCTCGGCATGCCGTTTTGTGGAAATCGAGCATTAGTGAAAATCCGAGCTAGCTGCAGGTTTCAATGTTTATGCACATTCACTCTGTGTGATCCGTATGGTGAAATAGTTGATGTCCAACAAGTCAGGTCGCGGAACAGTGTCCAACCATCGTAAGCCCCTTTCAAAAGCCAAAATCTTCACTCACTCCAGGCCTGTGACTTTCTTATGTGTGCCATGTCTATAGTCTATACCCATTTTGAGGATTTTGGCAAGCACCATGTCTATAGCCAAGACGCCATTGACTTTGACGCCCCAGCGTCGACAATGCCTTCGTGGCCAGTTTCAGGGCCGACCTCCAATGAAGGCCACGGTGAAGTCAGGCAAAAGGGGAAACGATCTGGGCCAGAAATTGCCTTTAATGGAGCTTAATCGTTTGTGTATGTGTATATATATATATACATAAGTATGTATAGTTATTTATGTATGTAAGTATGTATGCATGTATTTATTGATTTACTTATTTATATCATATCTATATCTGCATTTATCTATGTACTGTATTTGTTTATTTATGTATTTATCTATTTATTGGTTTGTTTGTCAATATTTTTCTGTATGTATTAATATTATTTAGTATAATGCATATATATATATATACTCAATGACTCGGTTCATTGCTGATTGGGAATGCAAACGAATGGTGCCCCAATTGAACTGGCTTGGGTCAATGGTTCAAGGCCGGGGAAGAAAACGTCCATGTCATCTACTGCTGTCGAAGAACTTGTGCGCCCCATCTTCCATGTTTTTGCTTGATGCTGCAGCGGCTGCTGCCAGGCAAGCACATGGCAGAGGCATGGTTGAGGCAAAGCAGTCTGCAGCACCATAGTGAGCCACAAGCAAAATGAGGATATGTCACAGCTATTAGCAGCCAAGAAAACCTCAAGTCAGGTAGATGAATATGCCATCATGATCAACTCTGGCGATTTTTGGAAGCTTCACTCGGCATACCAGGCACCAGGGTTGTAACTCTCACCCAAGTTGCCAATTGATGCAGTGCACATTTGGTATCATTTGGGGCTGTACTCTGGTTGCTGGGGCAACTTGCAAGTTCATGGTCACGGTCAACTGCCAAACCCGGCCAAACCCATTTCTTTTCGCCTGCTGAGTTCTCTCTCAGGGCTGAACCAACCGGGCCAACTTCTCAGGCCTCTCACCGGGTTCAGTTCACCAGTTGCCGCAATGACATGGGCAAACAGGCAAACATCCATATGCTCCAGGCCATGTAGGACAGGTGTACAAGTGCAGGACCGTGGTTGGCTGTTGCGTAGCAGCACTCAGGCTGTTGAGGATCTTAGTGATCTTAGTGACAAGGTCAGAACCAAAAATTCACTGAAATCGATGTGGTGAGCGATCGCACGTAGTGCCACCATCGTTTTGGAATGAAGAGCATGTCGCCTGGTCCCAAAATGGTCTCCACAAAGACAGCATTTGCAAAGGCAGGGTGAACCTCGCAAGGAAACGTATGAAAAATGATGCAGCACTGGACGATGCTGGTGGAGCTGGTTAATTTTCACCCGAGTTTAGGAAGGCTACTTAGAAATACTTAGAATCTAAGAACATCTTGGGGCCTTGGATCCAAACATGGCAATGAGCAACCAATGGCCCCATGGCCCCAACCTCCAGGTCAGGATGTTCCACTCGAACCGGTGAATAGGAAGCACCATGTTTTTTCTGCCGATCTCGCGGGGCGTCTTTTGCGTAGAGCCGCTCTCCCTCTTCTGGGCTATACAGGCGCAAGTACCTTGGGAGCGCGGCAGCTTCTGGGGGAACACCTGGGCCGGGCCCACTGACCCCACTGACGCCAAGGTACTTGTAGCCCGCCACTTGCACAAGAAAGTTGTCATCCAAGTCGTAATGCAAAGCGGTGACCGTTCCAGCAGTCCCCATCCAAACATTCAGAGTTTGGAGCTCTCCTAGAGCACAATAGTGGGGAATAAGAATATCGCTCCGCAGCTCTGGAATTTGCAGAAGCAACTGATGTTGCGCCATGTAGGCTACCTCCGAAGCAGACCACTCATCAATGGCTTCATGTGAAGCCCCTTGGCCTCCGTTCTTAAGAACAGTGTTGGAGGGCAATAGGAATCTCATTACGAAGTCCTTGAGCCTCATACTTCCTTCAGAAGCCGAGTGTTGGAGTGCTACACTTTGTTCATCATTTTCGCTAAAGCCCATCTCAATTGGCACGGTCCTGTGCCCATGACGACCGGCCCAGAATCTCAGGTCGTTCCACCTTTCAACACTCCATCCAGCCGCTGCCAAGTGACCTTCGATCACGCCAGGCTGCTGGAGCTTCAGAAAGCTGTCTCTGAAACTCATCACAGTGAGATTTGAACACGCCAAACGGCTGATAGGCTTTCGCACCTCTGGCGTTTTCGCCGATGCTGGCAGACTCCTTGGGACTTCCCATGCCAAGCCATCCTCCAAAGTTACCTCCATATTCTGACAGCGTTGGTTGCAGGTCTGCATCACCGTATGCACAGCAGCAATAGGAAGATCTGGGCACAGCGACAGTGACAGGTCTGCATGAAGCATAGCTTTTTGCTTATCAGTTTCCTTGGATTTGCCATGATTTGCCTTAGGGGCCTAGCAGCAAAAAGAGAACATCTTCCCGCCAATATGTCTACCAAATGCTAGATTTTCATGGATCTTCTGGGAAATCTCAAATAATCGCCATCGCGGCCCGGATTTCAATCGCTGCCAGCATGGCATGCGCCAAGGCGTGCGCGTGTAACACCGCCTCGGTGGGGGTTCCCTGCAGCAGCTGCCAGGCAGCAGCAGCACATTTCGACGCGGCAGCGGCGCAGTGCTCCAGGTGCCCAGCATCAAAGGCCCGGGCGGCGTCCAGTAGCAGAGCTGAAGCATGGCGGCCCTCAGGGTCCATCATCAAAAGGTCGCAGGCGGTTGGAACATATTCATCCAGGGCATCCTGCGGGCTCATCTTAAATCATCTTAAATCATCCTCAAAGGCCTCAAAAAAAGAGGGTGGACAAAAAAAACAAACACGGCCCGGTGCTGAAGCCAGTCCTTCAGAGCCTCATCCTCAAAGATGCGTTTCTTGAAGTAGGGATGCTCCGACGCAGCAACGCCACCGACTCCACAAGAGGTAGGAACACTGGCAACAGGAGCCACTGGGGCATCACCAAAAAGGGCCCACTCGTCAGATTCATCTTCCATCGGCCTTTTCATGACATCAATGCCAAAAAGCACCCAAACAGTGCATCCTTTACTCTGCTGCTTGCAATGCTAAGCTCTGTACAGTGATGTGCAATGTATATGTAACGTTTTCCATGATATGGCGCTCAAGTGACCTTACCAAAAAAAAGATCTCTTGGCCTGGAACCAAACAAAGTGGCCGCGGCATCTCAGATTGGATAGGTCTGTTGTGGAGCGTGGTAAAAACCACTTCGCATTTGGATTGGGCAATGCTGGCAATGCTGGCAACTGGCAACGAGCAAACTTTTCTCCGTGTGACCTGTCGGCCTGTGTGGCCCAATGTGGGCCTGGGTCTGGGGAGTCCTTTAAATCCAGGTCAGAAAAGTGGTCGTGTTTGGAGAACTTCATGCCGCAGACATGGTCTTGGACAAAATCAGCTCATCAGTGCGAAAATCAGGCTGCTGCTTGTCAAATCCACGTGCCAAATAGTCTTGTTGATAGCTACTCCTTGGGGCCGCTTGAGGGTCAAAAATGGGCCAAAAAAAAAAACATCATCCCAGATTCCCACGTCTGGTTAGCCCCAAGAAATCTGGGGAATTCAGAAAACATCAACTGAATCACCTCGGCAAATTCAAGATTCCTCAAGCCTTCCAGCATGCTGAACTTGGGCATCCAGTCCGGCACATCACGCTTTGCCTTCTCGATGGAAGCGAAGAAGTGCATGCCACGGAAAGGAAAGGCCTGGACATCAGTGATGGCCGGTCAGTTTCATACCACCGCCTTTAGGGTCATCTAAACAGCAGCCAGCTGCTCAGCCACTGGTGAACTTCAATACATATCAAACTTGCCTAACGATTGATGTGGATCCAGGATCAATGAACTCCTCATTGGGGGAGATCTTGCAGAATGAATCAGCCAGGGAGTCTGAATCGCTGGTTGACATTATTTCCTGTAAGTTTTTTTTCCAATCTGAATTCCATTCAACCTCCATCCCACATCCCAACAGAGCACAGCTTCCAACATACCCTTTAGTAAATCGACATAGACTAGATTAGATAACTCATGATAACTTCATTGGTAGATCTGCTAGGGAAACTAGATGGGATTCTACAGATTCCCAACTGGATCCCTATCCCAGCCTTGGGAAATCCGTCCGGCACCTCAACCGACTTGGGATCATAGTGCACGATCTGCGGCTCCGCCATGCCTGCGGCCTGTGCACATAGCTTGGCCATGCCATCGAATGTCACGTACTCCTCGCTGGAGATGTTGTACACCTGTTCCACCCTGTTGATTTTTCTCGTACCACTGCAGTAATCATAGTGATAATCACTATTCATAAACCTTGGTTTATGAATCCAAGGTTGACATTACCCACCAGTAATCCACCGGAAAATGTGGGGGGTTCGGTTCGTGGAAAATCCACCGATTTGGATATTGGATCCCCAAAGTTGGTGACCGGAAATTTCTGAAAAGAATGGATTCCGAGCTCATGGACCTTAAATTCTCCTGATGGGCCTTATAAATGATGGTTAAATAATGTTAAATCTCACCTTATTGATGATTTTCAAGTTGGGATTTTCAAGTCACTGCTCACCTGGCCCTTCACCGCGGGATTGCCGATGCACTTGATCATGAAATCCGCCAGGTCTTCGCCTGTTGACCCATCCGAATAACAGGGCCTGAATGACTACGTTGAATGGGATCACTCATCCCAAATAGATATGGAAATATATGGAAAATTACGGAAATAATATGGAATATGGACAGGAGAAAAGGGCAAAAAAGACAGCTTGAGACCACCAACCAGGCACAGTGTCCCAACTGGGTGATGTATTTGCCATCGTAGGGGATACATACTGGCCTTCCGCGGGTCACTCGATCAAAGAAATAGCGCTCTACCGGGTTGTAGTTCAAGGGACCGTAGATGTAGACTGGACCTGTTTGTTGGGGGTTCAATTCAATAGCTGAACCATGGCTGAACAGTGGTGTCCAATGGTGCACGCCTCCCAGACACAGCCCGAAAGTGGGACTTGAACACTGAAGACAGAGATGCAACCGAGGAACGAATCGAGGTCCAGTTCAAACCCTGAGAATCCAAGTACTGCTCGCATTGCAGTTTCTCCTTGTGTCGAGAGTTGGGATCACCAGGATTCTCCTCACTCAACGGCAGCACATCAGTGGGACCATACACACCTGCACTGCTCATGAGGATGAATTGTTCACAGCCTCCTGTGCTTTGGACACCCTCAACCAACGGTTGAACTTCATTCAACTTTCGCACGTTGTTGTCGAAAACGATGTCAAATTTCCCGGCGCCTGCCAGTGCCGCCTTCAGCGCTGCTGGGTCCTTCCGGTCAGCCACCAGCACACTGACACCCTCCAGCATCTTTTGATGCTCGGCATCATTCACCTTGCTCGGAATATTGGATTAAAAAAAGGAACCGACCTTTGTGAAATGTTAGAAACTACCAAGCGAATAAATGTTTGATATCAAAGCGTTGCCAAAAGTCATCAAAAGGTGCCATATATACCAAGGAACGATGGCCACTTTGTGTCATCCCAAATAGGGAATAGGGACAAATACACAAAATTACAGAAATATGCACATGCCCAAACATATATTTGTGAGTATGCGTGCGTAATGTAATGCATTTTTTCTCCATATACATGTCCATATTACAATAAATCTATGTACCAGAATACTGCACAAGGCGGTGGCCGAAGTTTCAAGAATAGGAAACGTATAGGAGAGGTGAGTTGTTGTGATGCATGGATGGCAGAGCGAATCCACTGATGCACCGAAAGGTGGTTGGAGCTGTGCTTTTTGGAGTGGTTGCAGCGGTCGCCTCACCCACAACTGCTGAATGTAGCGTGGTGTGGCGTGGTGTAGTTTGTAGTTGTAGTTGCACTTGCAGTTGTAGTTGCAGTTGTGGTGTAGTGGTATTGTAGTTGCAGTTGTAGTTGTAGTTCTAGTTGCAGCTGTAGTTGTAGTTGCAGTGTTGTTCAGCGCAGTTGTACTTGCAGTCGCACTTGTACTTGTCGTTGTGGCTGTGGTTGTAGTGTAGAGTATTGTAGTTTAGTGGTAGTTGTATGTGAAGTCGCGGTTGTAGCTGTAGTTGTACTGTAGCTGTAGTGTAGTTGTAGTTGTAGTTGCAGCCGTGGTGGTAATGTTAGTTGTACTGTAGTCTTGTGGTAGCTGTAGTTGTAGTTGTGGTGTAGTTGAAGTTGAAATTGGAGTTGCAGTTGTAGTTGTAGCTGTGGTGGTAGTGGTAGTCGTAGCCGTAGTGTAGCTGAAATGGAAGTTAAAGTTGAAGTTGTAGTTGTAGTGTAGTGGTAGTTGTAGTTGTAATGTAGCGTAGTGTAGTTGTAGTTGTCTATCTATCTGTCTATCTGCTATCTGTCTCTCTCTCTCTCTCTCTGTTTATCTCTCCGTCTATCTATCTATCTATCTATCTATCTATCTACCTATCTATCTATCTGTCTGTCTGTCTGTCTGTCTGTCTGTCTGCCTATCTGTCTGTCTGCCTGTCTATCTATCCTATCTATCTACCTATCTATCTATCTATCTTCCTATCCTATCCTGTCCTATCCTGTCCTATCCTGTCCTATCCTGTCCTATCCTGTCCTATCCTGTCCTATCCTGTCCTATCCTGTCCTATCGTACCTATCCTACCTATCCTATCTATCCTATCTACCCTATCTATCCCATCTATCTTATTCATCTATCCATCTATCCATCTATCCATCTATCCATCTATCCATCTATCCATCTATCCATCTATCCATCTATCCATCTATCCATCTATCCATTATCCATCTATCCATCTATCCATCTACCTACCTACCTATCTATCTATCTATCCATCTATATATCTGCAAGCTTGAAAACGAGGCTAGTCTGCGAGACCTCCTCAATGTTCGAACGAAGTTGACAACATCATCAACAGCAAAAAGGCAGCAATTCTGCTAGGCTTCCTCAATTTTTGACCTTGGCAACACAAAAAACGCAGCAATTCTGCGAGACTTCCTCAATTTTCCAAGTTGGCAACAGCAAAAACGAAGCAATCGTGCGAGACGTCTTCCAAAAATGGAAAACTGACAGCAAAGGCGACGGCCTCGTACCTAATGAGTTTTGCGTTTTTTCCATTCCATCTCTTTAAAGTACTGCGCCTGCCACGAAAAAGTGAGGCCAGGTCATACGAAGTGCTGCACCTGTCACGCAAAGTTATCTTGGCAAACCTGAAGATCTGACGCTCCAAAATGCAACCCCTCTCATGAAATCTCCGCCCTGACCTCCTAACATCTCTGGTGAACATGTCTCTTGTATTGCGCCTGCCACGCGAAATGCATCTTTGCACATCCTCTTCGAATGTCCCACGCCTGCCAACGTTTTTGAAACTGCTACAAAACCTTCACGTTTTCTTCACTTCTGGCAAGGTGCCGAATCCCGTGCGCATGCCACGCAAAACGACATCTTAACTTCCAAAAGTGGTCCGAGGCCCTTAGTCCTTTACACTTTTCACTTCCAAATGTGCTTCGTGCCACCATGGCGTGCACTTTTTCAACATCTCAACTTCCAAAAATGCTCCGAGCATGGTGTGCTTTGTACATTTTGACTTCGACATGTGCTTCGCGCCACAACGGCGCACACTTCATCATCTCATTTTCCAAAAATGTTCCGAAGCCGAAGCTGGTGTGTTTTGTGCATTTTGACTTGGACATGTGCTTCGCACCACAACGGCGTGCACTTTTTCGACATCGCAACTTCCAAAAGTGCTCCGAGAATAGTGTCTTTGTACGTTTTGACTTCGAAACGTGCTTCGCGCCACAACGGCGTGCAATTTTTCATCTCTCCTCCCCAGACGGCTCCGCACCAGTGATTCACGACTTATCTACCTTTTCGCGCACCTGCATCTTCTTTCTTCTGGGTCTTTCTCTTCTATGATCTTCTTGCTTCTTCCCTTCTCTTCTCTGACTCTTCCCACCTCTGCTTTTCATCTGTCCATATTGTCAGAAGTTTGACTTCTAAACTTCCTTCGATGATTATGTATGTATGCACGCATGCATGCACGTACGTATGTACATACGTATGTATGCATGTGCTTGTGTATGCATGTATGCGTGGATAGACCATTTACATGTTTATTTGTTTGTCTATTGATTAAATTACCCATTTGTTTGTTTATCTATCTATGCATGAATTTAAGAGCATAGTTATCATATGATTATATAATATATTATGTGTGTAGGGGTGTTCATGTGTGCATGTGCGTGGTCTGTCTGCAAACACAGGATCAACCACAGACCTTTGACAACAAGATCCAAGGCACTCCAGGGAGGGGTTCAGGCTTGCCTCCGTTCGTCTTTCCACGGTTGCACACCACAACATCATGGCCCTGCTCTCGAAGTTTGGCAACCAAATAGCAGCCGATGAATCGTGTTCCGCCCATGACCAAGCACCTTTTCTTTCCCACACTACCAGCTGCACAAACAACACGGCTGGTGTCTGCACGTGATGCTGCAACCCGGGATCCGCGGCGCGCAGCTGCCAAACCAGCTGCGGCCACGGCAGCGCTGGCCACTGTGGCAAAGCCTAGTGGAGTTGGTGCAGCATCTGCAGCATATGATGCAGCGACACCCTGCACTTTGGCCTTTGTGGCATCAGCAGCCCGGGGCACTGCGAAAGAAGGTCCACTGGATGCCAACAGTGCAGTTGCACCGGCCCCAACCACAGCGGGCACCAAGCCGCGGCGAGCCATGGTGAGGAGGAGGAGGAGGCTGTGAGGCAAAATGCTGCGAGATGCTGCGATCCAGATCCCCAGCTGAATTTTGGACATGTGATCATCGGATTTTCCGTGTTGTCGTTGAGGGGTGCGATGTGAGTTGAGTAGCAGCTGGTTGTCTCCCTTTTTGAACACATCAACAAATTCATGCTGGCAATTGCAGCCCTACTTAGGCCCTACTTCGCTTCGCTTCCAAGAGGTAAGTTCTTTCCAATCAGTATAAAGATTCCGCTTTACAGTAATCCTTACCTCTGAGCAAGCAAATATTAACACCTGCGCGCAGCTGTCTGATGGGTTGGGTATCAACTCCAATGCTGTCGCTTCCATCAAGAACCCATGGAGGATCTCAGGAATTTCAAGATAGGCCTTCCCAGCTTGTGCAACAGCAAACCAAAGAAAAACAATGCAAAAGACACTAGAGAAAATTTATTGATTGATTGAAAATGCATCTGAGCCGCGATTCGCATAGCACACCCCCCTCAGATATGGAGAAACGATGAAAAAGGAATGGAGTTGCGCAAAATTGCTGAACGGCGATTGCAAGGCTCGATTGTTGTTTGGCCTAGACTAACTGTCACTAATTGCTGCCACAATACCTTCTGCGTGGCAAAAGACCTGGATCAGGGCATGACATTGGCATGACATGGCATGACCACATCCAAGCATATCCAAGCAGAGACTCTCGTGATGGAGGTGTTATCAAAAACTGTGCAGCTAAGGTGCTCTAAGGCCTTGCTCCGTGAGGATCTTACTGATTGCATGCTGGCAGACAGCGGCTGCGAATATCCACGGCCTCCACGGACAACAAGCACAGCTTCCGGAGAAGTTCATGAAGCATCAAACCAGGGTTGAATGATGTCCAACAACCTGATGTAGTAAGGTCAGATTGTTCTGGATCACCGGTTTGGTGCGTTCACCATGATTCACCCACAATAGCAACTTCGCACCTGATCCGTGCGAACGTTCCCGTTCCAGGTCTGCTAGGGCCGCCTCAACCTCGCAGTGCCATCAACACCTCTTGGGGCTAAATCCTGGGTGGTCGTAAGGAATGAAAACCAATTGAAACCAACTGAATCCAGCTGAAACCTCCATGATATTCTATCCAATGTTCAGTCTCTGCCACGACCTCGGGACGCTCCACCTTGCGGGGGAAATCTGGCACCTGCAGCTGAATATGTAGCAACAGCATTTGGATATGCATCCCAGCTGGCGGATTATTCGTAACCCTGGGTAGCAAGTTCCCCAAGTGGTGCCTATGCACTTGAGGAAATGCACCATTAGACTCATTAGACACCTCTGTCCTATGCGTATGGCAGTTCAAAACCATTATTTTTAACCAGCCAACCAGGGACCTCCAACCACCAGTTTGAAATGCGATAGGAGTTGGACCACTATCGGGGCCTGGATCTCAAAGATCACGAAAGGTTTCAGGGCTGGCACTGTCCACAAAGCCGCCGTCGCTACAGATGCATCACTCACCTTGAACAGTTGGAGGCCAAGATCAAGATCCAATGAAGCGTCAAACTTGGGTACCTCAAGACATTCGTTTCTCCGGACTAAATATGCCCAACATACGTGGGATTACAGGACGGGGCCAAGAACTTAATTGAAATCTCGTCTGGTCCATTCTGATGTTACCATCTGCTTCGTCTGATAATGGGATCACCTCAAATCCCAGTTGATCATCATTTTCCCATTTCTTGAGGGCCCACAACTTGAGGGGCTGCAACATCCCCCAATATTTTTGAGAAAGCCAACAATTGCATCCCAGATACCGGCTCCGACATGGCACCCTCGGATGCCCTGCAGGTTGCCAGGGCTATGGCATCTTTGTCTTGTAGTCTCTGCTCGCCAGCATCCGGCCCCAGAAAGCGGCCGTTCAAAACAAGGCCATTGGGAGATAGGCACTGCCTCAGTATGTGGCCTGTTTGTGCTGGAAAATTTGAATCAGCAATGGAAAACCACCAATGAAATCATGAGAAATGATGTGCCTGTTTTGAAAAATGAAAATGTCCCCTTACCATGTTTGGTTCCTGCAGGGTGGATGGGGATATGAGTCTTTACGGGCACAATACTTGCAATCCGAGGTGCAGAAACAGCACCTCAGGCCAAGCATGGCTAAGACAAAAACAACACCACTTTCTCTTGATGAAAAAGCCCCAAATTGCCTGACAGGCCAGGGAACTGGATGACTTTGATCATCAGGAAGCTGCAGCTGGCGGCAAAGGATCTTGAAATGCTGGCGTGAAACCCTGGCGCAACATGCGAGGGTCATGTTCATGGGCCATTACCGACACAAATACCCGCTCTAGACTAAAGATGGAACCCAACAAGGGCTAGGCTATATCAAGTAGTGAAATCATCTTCGGGACCATTTTTCAGATTACAACTTGAATTTCGGGGTGTAAACGCGCAAATATCTTTGGCCACACCCCCTCGACCACGAAGCCTGTTTTGAAGATCCTTCCTGAGATCAACATCAGCAAGCAACCACGAATTGCCAAAGCTTTCGCAGTGGTGGCGATGATCATCATTCACATTGGGATGTGTGAACAATTCAACACACACACACATATATATATATAGCTCCAAGTATGTGTATCTATATACAGATATGTATAATATATATCCCCCATGTATAGCCCGCTAGATGCTTTGCGGCCGACTTTATAGAGAATAGCCTGGTATAAACTGGAATGGCCACATGTCTGGAGTCTATAAAGTGGAAAGCCAACATGTTTTGTCTATAAAGTCAAAATCCAACGTTTGTATAAAGTCGCCTGGCCGCGTAAAAACATAAAACTCGATGCAGGTTTTTGAGGGTACTTGTGAACATGTCCCATGACTATAAAGTGAGATGCCGAACATCCAGATAGTAATACTTGTGCAGAACAGTGGCACTATAATGTGGATTTCCGGCTAAACAACGATCGTTGTAGTAGCGATGATTTTCTTAATCGCGACGATGGCAGCATCGACATGATTGTCTATAAAGTTGAGGGGCCACGTTCAAACCTTGGGGGAATATCATCGATCTCATCGATGGGGAACCCAAAAGACTTCGAATGACTTCGAATCCGAACGAAACCGACAGCCAGACAAATATCTATATCGAAGTCGTTAACAGAATCTATGGTAAAACAAAATCTATTTTGGACTGGCCACTTTATACCCCCTCCCCCAACAGAGAATGCCTCTAACACACTTTCCTTTGAAAGGGGTCCTTGGGGTGAAAGGGGTCCTGGTCGCGCCGCGCGCGCGCGCGAAAATGGCTCCAATTTTGAGACCGCGCCCAGGACCCCATTCACCCTGAGGAATTTTTCAAGGGAAATCTTCTTCTCTATAAAGTGGCCAGTCCAGGTAAAACCCCTGAAAAAACAGAATCTATGTTGGACAGAGAATGCCTCTATAAAGTGGCCAGTCCAGGTAAAACCCCTGAAAAAAACACATTTTTACCTGGAATGGCCACTTTATACCCCCTCCCCCAAAGTGGCCAATCCAGCTAAAACCGCTGAAAAAACACATTTTTACCTGGAATGGCCACTTTATACCCCCTCCCCCAACAGAGAATGCCTCTATAAAGTGGCCAGTCCAAGTAAAACCCCTGAAAAAACAGAATCTATGTTGGACTGGCCACTTTATACCCCCTCCCCCAACAGAGAATGCCTCTATAAAGTGGCCAGTCCAGGTAAAACCCCTGAAAAAACACATTTTTACCTGGAATGGCCACTTTATACCCCAGCCAGTGGGCTCCAGGACTTTGACCCGGAAACGGAAGGACTGACAACAAGGTAAAGGGGGAAAACTACAACGGAGAGGTACAACGGGAAGGCTACCACAAGAAAATGAGACATGTCACGTTTATATACGTTTATTGTTTTCAATGTGTCATATAGATTGGCGATGATTGGTATATTGGATATGTTGTAGATGTATTTTGGAACATATGTATACCTATGATTCACACATCAATATAAATATATATAAATCATAAACACATGCCAAACCAAAAACTTTTAGCTGAGTATTGTATTCCCAATCTGCTGGCAAATGTCCAGCCGATTCACCATGCGTGACCCAACAAGATTCAAACTATGGATTGTTTACTTTCGAAAATATTTTTTTACTGGTTCTTGCAAACAATTTTATAGAGGATGGGCATGGACCGGCCAGTTTATACAGAGGGTGGGGCTGCCAGAAATGACGTGATCAAGCCACTTTATAGAGCTGAACTTTCTTGCAAACCATTTTATAGAGGATGGGCATGTGGCCGTGGTTTTGGTCCATAGATGTCCATAGATTTTTAGGATGATTTTGGGAGATTGTCGTCATAGATATACGTAGATTCACCCAGTATTTTTTTTCAAAAGTAAACAATCCATAGTTTGAATCTTGTTGGGTCACGCATGGTGAATCGGCTGGACATTTGCCAACAGATTGGGAATACAATACTCAGCTAAAAGTTTTTGGTTTGGCATGTGTTTATGATTTATATATATTTATATTGATGTGTGAATCATAGGTATACATATGTTCCAAAATACATCTACAACATATTCAATATACCAATCATCGCCAATCTATATGACACATTGAAAACAATAAACGTATATAAACGTGACATGTCTCATTTTCTTGTGGTAGCCTTCCCGTTGTACCTCTCCGTTGTAGTTTTCCCCCTTTACCTTGTTGTCAGTCCTTCCGTTTCCGGGTCAAAGTCCTGGAGCCCACTGGCTGGGGTATAAAGTGGCCATTCCAGGTAAAAATGTGTTTTTTCAGGGGTTTTACCTGGACTGGCCACTTTATAGAGGCATTCTCTGTTGGGGGAGGGGGTATAAAGTGGCCAGTCCAACATAGATTCTGTTTTTTCAGGGGTTTTACTTGGACTGGCCACTTTATAGAGGCATTCTCTGTTGGGGGAGGGGGTATAAAGTGGCCAGTCCAACATAGATTCTGTTTTTTCAGGGGTTTTACTTGGACTGGCCACTTTATAGAGGCATTCTCTGTTGGGGGAGGGGGTATAAAGTGGCCAGTCCAACATAGATTCTGTTTTTTCAGGGGTTTTACCTGGACTGGCCACTTTATAGAGGCATTCTCTGTTGGGGGAGGGGGTATAAAGTGGCCAGTCCAACATAGATTCTGTTTTTTCAGGGGTTTTACCTGGACTGGCCACTTTATAGAGGCATTCTCTGTTGGGGGAGGGGGTATAAAGTGGCCAGTCCAACATAGATTCTGTTTTTTCAGGGTTTTACCTGGACTGGCCACTTTATAGAGGCATTCTCTGGGGGAGGGGGTATAAAGTGGCCAGTCCAACATAGATTCTGTTTTTTCAGGGGTTTTACCTGGACTGGCCACTTTATAGAGAAGAAGATTTCCCTTGAAAGGGGTCCTCAGGGTGAATGGGGTCCTGGGCAGCTCTATAAAGTGATTTGGGTGATGTATCTCATGACTCTATAAAATGCTCTGCCGCAATTTTCTTTCTATAAAGTGCCCTGGATGCAGCACAAATTCTTCTTCTTAAAGGGCAAGTTTCACTCTATAAAGTGCTTTGCCATGTATACAGCCCCAACAGAAAGATATTGGCCCGAAATCATTGGGGAGACATGTTTCTATAAAGTGGATGGTGTGACATATTATGGCCATTCTTTGAAGGGAACCAACGGTCTATAAAATGCATTGCCGCATATATTGAGTCGTTTCCTTGTGGGGAACCAGCCGGGTATAAACTGGAAAGCCAACGTTGCTATAAAGTCATCTTCCAGGTCCAAGGGCATGTTTCTCGCGCAAAACACGGCTTTATCCCCCATTGTCGGTATATAAAGTGGCGACCGGAAACCCACTTTATAAGCGCAAAGGATGTCCACTTTATAGTGAGCTATACATGGGGGATTAATATATATATATATTAATATATATATATAGACACGCATTCATACATTATCTATGTATGTGTATATATATTTTCTTTGTATATATATATATATATATATGCGTGTGTGTGTATATATATATATGATTCTTTGTTTTGTCTATATATCATTTATTTATTTACACACCAGAACGCATCATGGCGGTCCAACGGCACCCAAGGTGCTCAGGAACAAGAGCGTCCCAGAAGGATGGCGGCTGCGCAGTTCTGCCCACCACCAGCTCCAAGCTGTCCGGCACAGAGCGCAGACACCTGGCATGGTCTGACTTGGGGTAAACCCACAGTGGTAAACCCCCAGTCATCACGACTTTGAAAAAATTTTGAGCTGGAAAATTGCTGGAAAATGAATGATAATCATGATTTCGACCATTGAATTTGAATTTTTCGTCACATTTTCAGAGAAACCCACTAGAACACACTTGGCCAATGCGACTTCGGCGGTCTTTACACCAGCAGTTAAGGACCGGGCTCCTGCGACTCCACTGTGACACCTTCAGCATACCTTGCGCTGGCGGCTTGGATGTACCACGGTAACTTGACGGCTTACTTCGTCGTGATTCAAAACATTTCACAACAGGGGTAGGGTCCCATCTTCACAAAGATTCTTCATGGTTCATAAATCTCTTCAACGAAGTGACCGTTCCCTGAGTGAAACATGCGTTTGTGGCCTGCCGTAGTGTACGCCATTCCAGTTGGCAAACCCGTCCCGTTTTGAACATAAGATCGACTCCTTGTTTCTTACACACCCACGATTTGGCCGAGATAACGCTTGCCATTTGTTGGTGAATCGTGGATGTCTCCCAGCTGCCGAGTTGCAAGCATTTCAGCATGCAGGAAGGCAGCGCTGTGACCACCGTCGTTGGACCTGCCACTTGCCTTAGACTTAGACACTCTCCACTGGCAAGTTCCGCTTCGCCATGATCCCAATGTTCCGATACGTTGAGAAAGCACAATGGGTAGGGTAGGCAAGGCTTCGGAATGGTCTCATACATCTCAAACATCTAGGTGTACAAAAAGCATCTTGTAGGAACTTGAAGTTCAGTAAATTGTGCCCAGATAGCACAAAGATATGTTTTGTTGGCAAGCAAGCGCTCGCCTTTCTTGCCGCGGCATAAACGTAATCTCCATCAGGGCCCAACGCCCACTCTGCCATAGACATCTCGCAGCCACTCCCTGCAGCGACACGAGCACCCAAGCTTCATGCGCACACCGCACTCTGACAGCAGGACCCTGTAGCAGCACCGAAGTTCCTAAGAAGCAAACAGCCCTTTGCAGCGGCACCCTCCAAGGTAAAAAGCGCCCTGCAGCGGCACCAACATGCCAGCTCCAAAGCGCACACCCCACTCTGACAGCCCCTGAACAGCGGCACCCTGCAGCAGGCCTCCTCCACTCTAACAGTAGAAGCAGCACCCTGCAGCAGCACCCTGCACTGGCACCAGCAAGCCAGCCAGCAGCACCTTGAAGCAGCACCCTGCAATGCAGCGGAAGCGCACACGCCACTCTAAACAGCACCATACTGACCCGTCAAGCAGCAACCTGCAGGCGACACCCTGCATGCGACACCCTGCAGCAGCACCAGCAGGCCAGCTCGAAAGCGCACGCCACTAACAGCAGCATCTTCAAGCGGCCTTGCAGCGGCACCCTGCAGGGGCACCCTGCAGCAGACCCTGCAACAGCACCGCAGATTAGCATGCCCGCTCCAAAGCGCACACGCCTCTCTGAAAGCAGCACCCTCAAGCAACCTGCAGCACTCCAAAGCGCACACAACTCTCAAGCAGCACCCTGCAGCGCACCAGCATGCCCGCTCCAAAGGCTTTGACAGCAGCACCCTCAAGGTGCAGCGGCACCAGCGGACCCACTCCAAAGCGCACAGACCAGCACCCTGCAGCGGCATTTCAATATGCCCGCTCCAAAGCGCAAACACACCACGGACAGACACACCCTCCAGCAGCACCCTAGCATGCCCGCTCCAAAGCGCACACAGCACTGTGACAGCAGCACCCTCCAGCGGGACCCTGCAGGGGCACGCTCCAAAGCGCACACCCCTTTGACAGCAGCACTGCATGCCCTTCCAAAGCACACACACCACAGCACCCTCAGGCCGCACCCTGCAACGGCACCCTGCAGCTTCACCCTTGCATGCCCGCTCCAAAGCCCACACGCCACTCTGAGAGCAGCAACCAGCACCTTGCAGCAAATCGCAAACACCACTCTGACACCAGCACCCTCAAGCAGCACCCTCCACCGCACCCTGCAGCGGCCCACTCCAAAACGTAGACATGCAAGTCCTCCTATACTTGAAGTAAGAACCCCAATAGCTTCGCTATCCGGGGAATAAAGTTCAGCCGAATGATCATTTGAAAACTAACTACAACTACACGGAGTTTTAGAGTTGTCATTGTTTCTTAGCTTCACATGTCATCCCAAGGTGCGAAGCAATTCGGTAGCTCCCTTGGGGCCGAAGGAAATGCATGGGCACATTCTCTTCCAGCTGTCCTTGGAGGTTTTTGATATCGCTAAGAAATAAGGGGAACCACTTCCCCATTTGGAATCAAAACACTTGGGGCGTGAAACGTGAAAGTACTCAGGCCCCTTCTGACCTTCCAAAACATCTTAAGTACATTTACCAGTGTGGCAAGCAAAGGAAAGTAACGCCCATAACACTTGGAAAACTGGAGAAACACTGGCTAGACAACTTGAAGTGGCCGCCGGACCCCAAGATTATCATGACACTTAGCACTTCAATGCACTCGAGCAGCCATCGTTGTAGCGGACCGCAGCTGTGTTATCATTGTTCAATCTAAGAATCCAACCTGCGAACAATGCGTGCATCGGGCATTAATGTCCTGTCACGATGGGCGACGAGCCTTGATACCACTGGAGACCACCTTGCCACCGTGCCTGCAGCAGGAATCGCAGAAATAGCATTCAAACCCCAGATTATCAGATTGCACCCAAAACATCTTAAAATATCCTAAAATCCTTTCCAAAGACCTACAGTCGCATTTTGTGAGATCATCGTTTTCCTTTCTGCATTAGATGCTTGCAGCCAGCCTCCACAGCAGCACCAACACACAGTGCAGCTGTCCTTAGCTCTTACTGTCGTCACTGACTCAGCTGCTCCATACTGGTCACTTGCGACCCAGTGGCGGCCGTGCTGGTCGCGCCACCCATGGTGCTGAAGTTGGTGATGTTGCGATCCCATCAAAGCCATCTGAAAGGAGGTGTCGCAACTCCTGGAGCAGGGTTGAGGCCTGGTCACTGTGGTTCAAACCAGCAAGGTGCGTCCTCCACAAGCTGCTTGAAGAAGGGCCGGCTGCAACCTAAGCCCAAATTTTTCATCAAACCTGCGACAGCTATAATAGGTTGAAGTTTGGGAATCCAACTTCCAATTTCATCCTAATTCGCGGGCATTTCCCTTCCCCTCAGGACTTTGTGGTCTTGTCAATCAAGATAATGTTTGGAACAAGCGAGAACGCCCACTGCTTTCCAATGCCTCTGGCTTCAATCTACACCCAGCCACTGCGAGGGTTTATGCATCGAAAAGCGATAGCACAAAGCGCCTCTGCACAGAATCAATTTTTCAAGTGCATCCCATCATCCGTTCATCCATTCACGTGGGTTTCTCTCAAAGATACAGCACTTCAGAATCCCAAAACACATCAGCCGCAACTTGGGGTACCCCCTTTCCGATCTTTGCTGATTGCACCATGACCTCGAACACTTTGGTTGGGAAGCCAGCGCTGGGGTCGAGCATTTGCTGGACCTTCTCTGAGCCTCAGACAGTGGGGGCCATGTCAACCCACAAAGTGTGTATAACATAAAGAATAAAGATATGGATGTATCGATGCATGGATGTATCTATCTATCAATCTATCTATCTATCGATCTATCTGTCTCTCTATCTGTGTATCTATGTATGTACGGACGTAGTATGTATGTATGCATTGACCATTTTGACTGGTAAACCATCTGACCATCCAAATTCAAACCATCCGATTCACAAAGTGATTTAATGGCGGCAACTTGCACATCATGCATCCTAGTGGCTGCCTTGCAAATAGTCAACCTGAGGCCAGGCCAAGCTGTCTTGGATGAATCATAATTTGGGCTTGCCGCTTGCATCTAAAACAGGTATCCCGAAACCTACTGGTCTATCATCATGTTCCCCATCATATCTATGTACTCTGGGCACGGCACCAGGAATTGGTATTCCTTGGGTCGGTCGGGATAGGCCACGGCCGGGGGTGCAGCTGTCAACAACTCCAAGAGAACCATCCCGAAGCTGTAGACCTACAGGCTTGTGCCGATATCCAGCTGGCAGTGGGCAAGAAAATCTAGACATAGGTTGGATGTGATTGGATGGTAGGGATTTGACCGTATATTCTTTATGCCTAAGACTGGTGGCAACTAGGAATTGAATTTCTAAAAAACTCAAGCGCTATCCCCCAACAGTTTGAAAGCTTCTGCTTTGTATACAATCATACACATACAAGCATGCAATGGTGCTGCACAATGGTAAAGGAACCAGGGCCAAGAACCTCAACAGGTATCTGCACAGGAACCCTCCAGAAGCTGCCCAGATATCTGCACCGGAATCCTCCAGAACCGCAACAGGTATCTGCAGGGGAACCCTCCGGAACCTAACAAGGTATCTGCATTGGAACCCTCCGGAACTTTACCAGATATCTGAATTAACATGAATTGATACAAACGCAATCATGTTGGATGACACGTTGTTACTAACTGCATGTGATCTTGTGTTCGTCATCATGACATCATGCCCACATTGTCATACAATCATACACATACAAGCATACAGATACAATCATACAGATACAATCATACAAGCATACACATACAACCATGCAATGATGTTGCACACAGGTATGTGACGCATTCCCGTGAAAAGTAGTTCAAACACAAAATGTGTAAGTGTTCCCGTTGCACACTTTTGTGTTCATAATTCGGTCCTGCTGCTGACAACATTGTTTATGAATCTGCGGCAAGCAACCAACATGAACTCATACATACGCAATCATTGTGGATTACACGTTGTTACTAACTGTATTTGGTCTTGTGATCGTCATGAAAACATCATACGCGCATTGTCATACAATCATACAGATACAACTAATGGTGCTGCACGCTGGGAAATGAATCAGGGCCCTGGAAAGCATTATACATATACAGATACACATACAATGCGCAAGTGCTCACGGTGTCTACTTAGGTGTTGATGTGTTCATTCCTGCTGGTAGCAGAATTACATATGGATCTTCGGCAAGCAACCAACATGAATTGATACCAAAACAAGCATGTTGGATGACACACTGTTACTAACTGTATATGGTCTTATGACCGTCATCATGACATCAGGCGCACATGGTCATACAAGCATACACATACAATCATACAATCATACACATACAAGCATACACATACAATCATGCAATGCTGTTGCACACGGGTATATAAAACATTGCTATGAAAAGCTGTACCTATCCCTGGTCTCTGCGCCTGCATCGGTGCAGTTCAGCGGATTGATTGTCGGATCTCTGGTCTCTGCGCCTGCCACCGGTGCAGTTTATGAGAATGATGGTTGAATCCTTGGTCTCTGCGCCTGCTACCCGTGCACTTTACCAGATTGTTGGTCATATCTTCTGCCCTGCTCCCTCTCAGTTAGCTAAGTTGATTTTCAAAATGTTGGTGTCTGCGCCTGGCCGGCGCAGTTCAGCAGATTGATTGTCGGATCCCTGGTCTCTGGCGCCTGCCACCTGTGCAGTTTACCGGAGTGATGGTTGGATCCTTGGTCTCTCCTGCTGCCACCTGCAGTTTGCCAAATCGTTTGTCAAATCTTTTGTCTCTGAGCCTGCGATGTGGGAGTTGACCAGGCCGATTTTCAAAATATTGGTGTCTGCGCCTGCCATCGCTGGAGCTCAGGGGATTGATTGTCAGATCCCTGGTCTCTGCGCGTGCCACCAGTGCAGTCTACGGGATCGCTTGTCAGAACTTTTGCTTCTGCGCCTGCCACCTTGCAGTTGACCAGGTTGATTTTGAAAATGATGGTGTCTGCGCCTACCACCGGTGGAGTTCAAGGGATTGAATGTCAGATCCCGGTACTCTGCAACTGCCACCTGTGCAGTTTACCAGACTGATGGTTAGATCCTTGGTCTCTGCGCTGCGCCTGCCATCTGGGATTTTTTTAATAGGTTGATTTTCAAAATGTGGCTGTCCGCGCCTGCCACCGATGGAGTTCAGCGGGTTGATTGTCGGATCCCTGGTCTGCCTGCCACCCGTGCAATTTACGAGAGTGATGGTTGGATCAAGTTGCATCCTTGTTCTCTGCGCCTGCCACCCGTGCAATTGACCGAATTGATTTTCAAACTGTTGGTCTTTGCGCCCACCCTCGGTGCATTTTACCAAGTCAATTTTAAAAAAGGTTCATGTGCGCGCCTGCCACCGGTGCAGTGAAGCGGATTGATTGTCAGGTTCCTGGTCTCTGCGCCTGTCACCCGTGCAGGTTACCAGAGTGATGGTTGGATCCTTGGTCTTTGCACCTGCCAACCATGCAGTACCAGATCGCAAGTCATGTTTTGCGTTTACTGCCACTTCACTGAGTCCATGCCACCTTTGTCGTCACGTTTCTTTAAACCCACGCCGTCGTGACGGTTCGATATATCACTTCAGGCTTTGCGGTCGTCGTTTTGCTTTAGTGGTTTTCAGGCTGGTTCGTCTTAGGATTGTTCCCTTTTCCGTGCCATGTTGTCCTCCGTACTTTTGCTTTGGTTTGCGCTGTGCGTGCTTGAACCGTTTTTGATTATGCGTTAAATTCAGCGCTGTGACTTGTTGCTGTTTGCCGACACGTTTTGCGGATCAGTTTTTCCCGCCTTTGTCCTTGCTTTCCTTTTCGCCCACAATGTCGTGATGTTTCAATATGACGCTTCAGGTTTTTGCGGTCATGTTGTGTTGAGTGGTTCTCACGCCGGATTGTCCTGAGATTGTTCCCTTTGCCTTGCCATGCTGTTTGTCATACATTTGTTTGGGCGCGCGCTGCGCTTGATCAAACAGGGTATTGGTCGAATTCAGCGCGGTCAGCTTTTTCGTTTGCCAACGTCTTTTGCCAATCTAGTTTTTGCAATGATTGGTTTTGGACGCCAATTTCCGCTTGGTGCAAACATCTCAAAAAAAACATCTCAAAAAACACAAAACAAACTTCTCAAACATCTCAAAAACACTGACCAAACTTCTCAAACATGTCAAAGACACAAAACAAACGTCTCAAACATCTCCAAGACACAGAACAAACATCTCAAACACCTCAAACTGTGTAACAAAGGTAACTCGTATGTGTACTTCATCATGAAACTGACTTTCTAAAGTGCTGTAATGCATCCAAAGGACATCGATCACACACATATTGAATGCATTTACAATCGTCACAATCAGTATCTGAATGCCAATGTGTGAAATACAGAGAAACGGGACACTAAGCAAAACCGCGATTTAGTATGATGTTGATTGATGTTGCACACGGGCATTTGAAACATTCCCATGAAAAGCTGTACCCGTCCCTGGTCTCTTCGCCTGCCACCCGTGCAGTTTACCAGAGTGATGGTTGCATCCTTGGTCTCTGTGCCTGCTACCCGTGCAGTTTACCGGAGTTTTCGCCCACAATGTCGTGATGTTTCAATATGACGCTTCAGGTTTTTGCGGTCATGTTGTGTTGAGTGGTTCTCACGCCGGATTGTCCTGAGATTGCTCCCTTTGCCTTGCCATGCTGTTTGTCATACATTTGTTTTGGTGCGCGCCGCGCTTGATCGAACATTTATGCGTCGAATTCAGCGTTGTCAGCTGTTTTCGTTTGTCAGCGTCTTTTGCCAATCTAGTTTTTGCAATGATTGATATTGGACATTAATCTCAGACATGTGCTTCATGGTAAAACTGTCTTTCTAAAGTGCTGTAACGCATCCAAAGCACATTGATCACACGTATTGTGTGCATTTACAATCATCACAATCAGTATCTAAATGTCAGTGTGTCAAATACAGAGAAACGGGACACTAAGCAAAACCACCATTTAGTCATCAAAAAGTTTTCGTGCATTGCGTACAATCGTACTTTGATTCGACGCCAGTCGTATTACCCGTACATCTTTTACTGAGTTGCTGTCACCCATGTCTCTGCTGTTTTAACCCACGATGTTGTAATGGTTCGAGATGACTCTTCAACTTTCGTCGGCCGTCTATTTGTCAATCATCTGCAAGCCTGCGTGTGTTAAGATTGTTGTCTTTACGTTGCCGTTTCGTTCCTTCAAAATTTTGTTTCGGTTTGCAGAGTGAAATGTCTAACCATTTATGCATCGACTTCTTTTTGCCGCGCCCTGCCCCGCCCCCTGCAAAGTAAATCTACAAGTATATGAATGCATCCTATACAGCGTTTAATAATTATAATGGGTTCTGTCCAAGAAAAAAATGTTTATGCCATTAAAAACATCGGAGCCCTCTGGAACTTCAAAAAGCATCTGCACCCGAACTTTCCAGAAGCTTACCGAGTACCTGCACCGGAACCCTCCGGAACCTCACCGGCTATCTGCACCGGAACCTTCCGGAACCTCACCAGGTATCTGCATCGGAACCTTCCAAAACCTCACAATGTATCTGCTCCGAAACCCTCTGCACCGAAACCTCCAGAACCTGAAACCTCCAGAACCTCACCAGGTATCTGCACCGGAACCCTCCGGAACCTCAACAGGTGTCTGCACCGGAACCCTCCGGAGCCTTGCCCGGAACCTGGATCGCACCAGAGCTAATCTGGGCTAAAGACCCCATAGCAAAAGTTTTGCTGTTGGGGGGAAAAAATATCAACCCTTCGACCCATTTCTACGTCGTTGGGGTCCCATCATCGTTTGAAACATTCAATAGGAAAGGGCAACTGTTCACCAATAGCCAGCCGTCCCCAGGCGGTTGGGGTGGCCCCGTCACAGCTTGGCAGGCCCGCCTCACAGCCTTCAGTAATGACACCACTGCCTCAGACACAGCTGCGGCGTTCAGGAGATCTTAGGGCCTCCAACCTGTACCTTCATTGACTGAAATGGACTTAGACTATAAACCACCACATGTTGGATGCACAGTGGATGGCTTGAACAAGCGCCCAGCCAGTCAACGTTTTTACGTCAGGGCAGAGCTTCGCTAGCAAGGTACGCAGGTACTCTGGGCAGGCATAGCCGACAGTTCCTCCAACTCTCAAGACCTTGTGCTTGGAAGCACCTAGGGCACCACAGATGACTCGCTGGTCCCAGAAAAATGTAAAAAAAGTGGTTGCTTGACAATGCATTGGAGCCTAACTACCTAAAAGTATTCAGCAACAAGGAATTTCAACGACAAAGGTGTGGTGGCCCTGCAAAGATTTCCCGCCAATTCTCATACCCAAGCTGCTGGACAAACAAGCCAATCCTTAGTGTGGTGCTGGCGGCACTTCCGCGGCTGCACTCCTTGCGTCTCACCAACTAATACCAAGAATCCAAAGTCGGCCATTTTGGCAGTGCCATTCTTGTCCAACCTAGGGCCACAAAATTGCAGAATTGTCCCCATGAGATTTTCTCCAGGCGGATCGAACCAAACAAATACACAACATAGACATGTTTTCCCTTGTGTTTCCAGGTTGTTTTGATGGCTGTTCTGTCTGCTCCTGAATTGTCCAACAGGAATCATGACCTTTTCCAAGGAAAAAAAACCTCCTGTCACACCTCCATGTTTGCAGGTGAGCGGCAGAATATTCTGGGATTTGATGTCCCGGTGGAAAGCCCTGCCAAGCTGACTCTGCGCCCAGTTTGCATGGTGAACCCCAAAATGTTGGTCATAGTCTCCCAGTGTCCCGATTTCTGACCCTACCTTGGCGTCATATTGTGCAAGTGGGACAGGCCACAGGCCGCATCCAAGGCTGTACTCACTCTTGCCCTGGCGCTGAATGGCTCCATGGAATGTCGGCTTCGTGCAATCCGCTTGGCCGCATCACCACCCGACAGGAACCTCAGTGCAAAACGCTGACCCAACGCTGACCTCAAGGCTTGGAGCCTTTGGTGCCACTGGGCTCAGTTTATCAGCTGATCCAAGGTGCTCATAGATCAAACTCCTCCATCCTGTCTCCGCGTGCCTCATGTGGTCTGAGTCATGAAAGCTTTCTGTTATGTTTTGGAGTGGGCAAATTGCCACCGAGGAGTTCACAGGGGGTAACAAATGCATACACGAATCTATGCATATACATGACATATACACACACACACGCTTGCTCAGAACTGTCATTGCGAATTTTGTTGTGGAGTGCATCTTACGTGCAACAACAATCCCTTTAAACCTGACAAGAGTAGGTCACTGAAAGGACCGAAAAACATTGGAAATTGGAAAGCTGCCATCGCCATAGCCAGTGCCAAATAGAGTGAATTGGAAGCTGACCCTTCCCTTTCAACAAAGCCATATCCCTCCCTACTTGACAGAGTGCGAAAACCGTACAGAAAATGAAATGGGCATTGGAAAATGCAGAAGTTCAAAACTGACGTCATGCCGGTTCTGGGCTTAGCCGGTCGCCACTAACGAAAACCTGATTTGTCGAAAATGCAGGCACGTCTGGATGGCCAATCCAGATATCCCACTCTGTGACCTAGCTTCGTTGAACTGGGTCAGTCACAGAGTGCCCAGTTCTTCTGCTCAAACAGACTACCAAATGTACAACCAAAACCGAGTAGAAGTTTTACATCTCTTCAGATGGTTCACACACACACTTCCTCAGAACTGTCTTATCGAATTGTCATGTGGAATGCATCGGGCGTGCAAAAAAACACTTCATCTCTTCCTGATCCCAGGAGAAGGATCATGAGAATAACCACTGACGGGGTTCCAGTGTAAGATGCCAAAACAAAAATAAATCGGCAGTTGTCCTGTCACCGCAGTCTCAGATTGCACCAACTGTGCAGAAAATGAAGTGGACTGAAGTTGTAAATCCAAACATACATGACATGAAAACCGGCGGGGCGGTTCTTGGCTTGGCCGCTTGCCATACACAGGGGAAAATGGAGCAGGTACGCAGAGCTGATCAGGCTCTGTATCACATACAATCCGGTAGCTTCGTTGGACGTGGTCCCTGATTGCCTGCCACGTCCCCCTGCTGAAATCAGAAAGCTCAAAAAGAAGCAACAATAGAGGTTTTACTTGTGTTCAGAAGTTCCACACACACATAATATATATATATACATACATAGACCCACACACAAAAGATGAGAGCGCGAGCTAATCCACACTTTTCAGGGCGAGTTCGCGCCTGGCGAAGCCCATGAGGATCACCAGGTTGGGATGACGGAATCGCGACAGGACCCGCACCTCTGGCATCGCAGCTGACCCAGCTGACCACTACGCTAAGCACGTCAACCGCCGCCAACAGGCACCGGGAGCCTCATCTTCGAAGCCTCCTTCGTTGGGCACCTGCAGAACCTTGGAAACACTCTGTGATAGTATAGCCATGTATAGCTATGCATAGCCATGTATGGCATGTATAGCTACACACCACTGAGTCAGAAAGTAGTAGCATGTTGGGTGCCTTGATAGCCACTTCCGTGCCATCCCTCATGGTTCCTTTGTACCTGGGACACACAAAGATGCTGCGGGTCTTGTGGGAAGCTGTTGCTGTATCTCAAAAAAAGTGCAGCCAAGTCACACTTTGCCAAAGGATCCAGCGCCAAGCAAACATTTCCGGTCAAAGTTCTCAGTTGCCAATTTCAGTTCTTCTTCGCTGTACCTTCCACACGGTGCTGGGACGTAGGTGGACCCAATCATGTATTCATAGGAAACTACAGCATGTTGCGCATTGGACATGTTCTGCCATCATGCTGCCCAGACGCTCGTTGCTGGCATTGTTCAGGTGAGAATCAGTTTTTAACTGAGCTCCCTTAAAAAAAACACCTCATGTCAACAAGAAACGGTACAGCTCGGGCACATGTTTCATCAACAGCTTCATCATGTTTCATCCAAGTCACTCCAGTCAAAGAGATTTTCAACGCCCAGATCCATCCAGACTGAATTGCACACATCCCAGCAGTGTCACATGAATGAGAGCACGCGATGCGGATTTATTTGCTGCAAAAACTAAAGATCTTGGCACGTGGAGCCTGGCGTCAGTCTTGCATTGAAACCATGTTTTGCCTGGTGTAAATGCAATCATGACCAACTCCGGCCAACTTCAGCTGAGAACCAAGCACTTGGATCCCAACGGAACATATATGTAATTATGCACTGTATTTCTATCACATGTCTCTCATTCAGATTAGGCTACAAAGGACATCAAAGACGAGGCCTGACTATGGAACCCTTTCAGTTGGACTCCGGGGACACCAGTCGGGCACCAGGGACTGCGGGCAGGTTTTTCCCTGGAATATTGCAACGACACCGTCGATCTTTGGACGGGGCCGCACCATTTCAGGACGGCAGGCTGCACAATTCTGAAAGAAGCAAACCCTGCATTAATAGAAAGATCGTCACCAAGCCCAAAGCGGTGTTTCTCCACAATGCTGCTGGCATGAGTAAATACAACCTGAAAAAAGGTGCTCACGCCGCTTAGACATCGCGTCGGTAATAGCAAAAGGCAAAAGGTCAAAGTACAAACTGGTGCTACTTGGAAAGCCAAGGTGCAACACGGATGCGGCCATAAGCATGGAAGCACACGTTGAGGCATACAAGAAGAGCCGCAGTTCTGGCAGAAGCCCTGGACATTCTTTAGCTGGCTGAGGCATCTGAGGCCGAGAAAGATGGGTCTTCAAATTGGAGACTTGAGATTCCAACTGCCGAACAGCTTCCAACACATCAGACTTCGAACAGATTGCGGAGGCGTTTTCAGGAACAGGCGCTGGGACCGCAGCTGTCGCAGCTGTGGTAGGCATCGAAGTTTTTCGGAGCGGAGTCACCAAACCAAAGTCCACCACGAGTGGCAGATGATCTGAACCCAAACTTCTCACCAGAGAGGTTCTTTTCACTTGCACTGGCGGTGACAAAACACATGAAGCTGTTCAGCAAAAACATCCAAACACCCTACTGGACAGAGAATGCTTAACCATACCTCGGCCAATTGAGGGGGTACGAAGTGGTCAGCGTGAACTCCAGCTCTTTTCGATCAAAAAAAAAACAGATCTTTCAGAAGTCCAACCTAAAACTGCCAAGCGAGCAGGTCGAGAATGATCGGAACGACGTTGCTGTGGCATGAAGAACACAAAGTCTAAAGTGCCTCCCTCATTTGTAATGGGTTCTGTGCCAATGACCTTTGCATAGGCGCTGATAAAGACGTTTGGAGATCGGTCCAAAACCAGCATGTCATAGATAGAGCCTGCACCAAATTGCTAAAACACGGGGAGAACGTACGATCTAATATGAAACACTGGGATGATAGATGTTGATGATATAAAATTTGTAGCATCTTTACAGCGTGTTGCACCGTGTTACCCGTCACTGGATGCCACCACCCCAGCATGTTCGTCAAAGTGATCTGTAAATAAGTGGAAAACGACCGCCAATAAGCTTCGGTGGTATCCCCAACAGCCGCAACGTTTTATTTTTACAAATCTTTCTGAAGCGTGCTGCGAAGCCAAGCGCTGTAAACCTTGTTGAACCTGTTGGAACCTGACCTGGCCCTGCACCAAAGATTCCCCAAGGCTTCCAAAGAGCTTCTCCGGAACCTTCTCCGGAACCCTGTTGAACCTGACCTAGCTCTGCACGCTAAGCCTCCCAGACCTTCTCCGGAACCTTCTCCGGAACCCTGTTGAACCTGACCTGGCTCTGCACCAAAGCCTCCCGGAACCTTCTCTGGAACCTTCTCCAGAACCTTGTTGACCCTAACCTGGCTCTGCACCAAAGTTCTGCGGAACCTTCTCCGGAACCCTGTTGAACCTGACCTGGCTCTGCACGCAAAGCCTCCCAGACCTTCTCCGGAATCTTCTCCGGAACCCTGTTGAACCTGACCTGGCTCTGCACCAAAGACTCTCAGAACCTTCTTCGGAACCCTGTTGAACCTGACCTGGCTTTGCACCAAAGCCTCCCACACCTTCTCGGGAACCTTCTCCGGAACCCTGTTGAACCTGACCTGGCTCTGCACCAAAGCCTCCCAGACCTTCACCGGAACATTCTCCGGAACCCTGTTGAACCTGACCTGTCTCTGCACCAAAGCCTCCCAAACCTTCTCGGGAACCTTCGCAACCTTCTCGGGAACCTCGTTGAACCTGACCCGGTGCCTGCACCGGTGCACACCGGAGCTATTTTGGGCTGAATACCCCGTTAGCTTACGCTCTTGGGGAATGAGTCCATTCCCTGGCAGAAAAAATAAGCACCAACCAACCTCTATGCTGAACAAAACTGCCGGGACAACCAATCCGCAGCAAGCCGCAACAAGCCACCTTGTAGCAAGATCGATGGGTGGAAACCAGAGGCCTTTATAGCAGTCATCAAAAAACCAATGGATTCAGCGGTCAAATTTCCTCTGGTCAGCAGTTCGTACACGGGACTTGGCAACGATTCTTCATCCGATGATGGCTCTTCCCAGGAACCAGCTGGATTTTCAATATGTCGCGTCATGCTTTTGAACACGCTCTCAGGAAAGAAATGCGGTACATTAAAATCACCTGCCAAAATGCAGTTCAAACTTGAATATTTCAGCCGTTCTTGTTTGATGATCTCTTGCATCCCATCCAACAAGACATTTGTCTCGAACAACTGCACGTCCATCAGGAGAGGTTTGTGGTGAGCTGGATTCGCGGTTAGATGGACTGCGCCTATCATGATAGCGTGAGGTCGTACTTCTTCCTGCCCTACACATGTCAGGATGACAAATAGAACCATGTTGCTCTTTGTTGCGTATCTTTCTCGCTGCTGCTTATTGAAACTTCCGTCCAAAAGGGATCGCCATGGCGTCAATTTGGTGGTGCTCAGTTCGAAATCCGTCGCACTTTTGAGTTCAAATTTTGAACTTCTCCAAAACACAGCAACGCCAACCCCAGAATCAACCCCGGTGTACACACTGAGGTATCCTCGAGCTTTGAAGAAGGGTTGGATTTGGTCGTCATATATCAGCACTTCAACTTCCTGCAGCACCATTACATCTGGTTTTCGAACCCGCACTTCTTGCAAAATGCGTGCCCATCTGGAATGCCAGTTGGATTGTTTGGTACCCAGGTTGTCCCATGACGGCGCAAGCACGTTCCAACTGAGCAGCCGAAACTTGGTTTGAATTTCTTCCTGCAACCCAAATTCTGTTGAGGATGCCGGAACGAAATGCCGAGCAGGCCCAAATCCCTTGGCCGAAGTGTTCATGGCAATTGCCGCAAACATGTTCCAAGCAAGAACGATCCATACCAAAGTTGGCGACAGGCAGTCAAATCTGGACCGCATCTTGCAACTACGGCCAGGCAACATGCACCAACAAACGCGGCATTGCTCGCTGCTGTCCTAAACAATGTTGTTGCTACGTGTTTCCAATTTCCTGAAAATGTCCCGCCGGGAGATGGGAAAACAAAAAAATACTATCTGTAGGCATTAGCAACCACAAATGTGAGGAACTGTACATGTGCAAATCATCATGCTCACGTTTGGTCCTTTAAAGTACTGGCGTCGGGTTTCGTAGTTTTGCCATCACAACTCTGCACAAACCAAACGCGCAGAAACTATCAAAAATTTAAATTGCGTGATGCGTCTCTGAAAGTAAAATGGAACGCATATCATCCCCACATTGGGCTCTGGATCTTTCGATCTACGACATGAAGGGGAGTGGAAGATAACACATTCGATGGGTCAGTTCATTTGTGATATGTACATGCCGCTGGCATATTCACACTTGACAGCAACCGGAAGGAACGAAAGGTATGTTTTGTGAGAGCGACTTAATAGGTCGCCAAAAAAATGGTGCAAACAAAACATGTTTTTGGGTTTGGGTCTTGCAAGAATCGGCCCATGACAATTTTAAAAGAACGAAAATAACAACAATATTAAAACAATTATGATATATAAAATATATGTATATAACAACAATAATTACGATGAAATTAATATTCATTATTACTAAATATGAAAAATGATCATAAAAATAGTTATAATAATAATAACAAAAACAACAACAATAACAATGACAAAAAGAAATCACAATAACAAAAACAATAACAATGACAATAACAAAAACAATAACAATAGCAATTGCAATAGCAATGGTAATAATGAATGGAATAATGCTGAATAATAAATAATGAAAAAAAAACTGATGAGAACAAAATAATGATAACAATACATCGAAATAAATGAAAATATACCGAACGATATCCAAAACAAGTACGACAACAAGAACAACAGTGATTAAAAACAACAACAATAGTAATAACAATAATAAGAATAGGAATAGAAATAAGAAGAAGAAGGAGAAGAAGAACAATACTAATAATAATAAGTCTAGTAGTAATAAGTAAAATAGTAAAATGAATGCTAAAGAAACAACGATCATGCTATTAATAATTTAGCATTACGTTCAACCACGTTTTTTTAAAGAAAGGCACGCGGTCCGGTCCCCATTTTTCCACGCTTTTAGGAATGCAGTGTTTCTGCTACATCATGTTTGGTCATTTATGTTAATATACCTTTCATTCGGTAATGTTCCTTTATGTCATGGAAGGATCGACATGAAGCACCTTGAACACATTGGAAACCACTTTAAAGGTTTTGCTAAAGATCCCCAAATATGGTTAGATTTCCTCAGGCCGCCAAGGATGTGCAGAGAGCCATAAAGATCCCCAGGGAAAAGGAAAAGGAAAGAGGAGAAAAAATATATAGTGTGTATATGTAAATGTATGCCTCCCTCAAACTAGAGGGGTCCAAAAAAAAATATATATATATTTTTTAGACCCCCCCCTCTCCTAGCCCTCCTATATATAGCCCCTCCCTAACGGCCGGCTACGGAAAGCTAACGTTATGTCAGCCAGACCATAGTTTATTCTAATTTTTCTAAAAACTTGAAAAATCAAAACGCGAAAAAAAAAAAAAAAAAGGAAAAAACACAAAACAAATCAGCAAAATCAAAAAATAAAAATAAAAGGAAGAAAAAGGAAGGACAAAAAGGGGAAAAAAATGGTTAAAAAATGGACTTGTCCATTTGCATGTGTTTTGTTTTTTTTGTTTTTTTCGATTTTTTTTCTTTTGTTTTTTTTCCCAGGTAAAAAGCAAAAATAAAGCAAAATAAAAACAAAAACAAAACAAATCGAAAAAAACAAAATAAATGCAAAAAATGCAAATGAACGAATCCATTTTTTTCCATTTTTGTCCTCCTTTTTGACGTTCCTTTTCTTTTCCCATTTATGTTGTTTCCTGTTTTTTTCGGTTTTGAAGTTTTGTTTTTATTTTCCATGTGTTTTTTTCTCAAGTTTAAGAATCATTAGATTAAGCTATAGAGGTGAACATAAAGCTAACGTGAACAATCGGACTATGAAAGTCGATTGGCGGAATGAAGGAACGGACTACCGAATATACAAGAACGGAGTACGAAAGGAAAAACGGATTATGAAAGAAAAACATAACATACAGTTTCTAAAATTAGAGAAAAGGACGGCATATCGACATAACTTTGCCGACTTTATATATTAAACCAGTGGCAAGTAGCACAACGGCATGACGTAGCTTGAGAAATTGCGTGGCGTAGCATGAGCAGCTGCCCAAAAAAATGGTAAGAACATTTCAAAAAAAACACCATGGGAAATAACAACACACAGCATGTTTTATGTGTGTTGTTCCATATGTCTGAGTAAAACGTGAAAAAGAATCATGACATGTTTGTGTTTAGTGGGGAAATAATTTCAGGTATGATAATATAAAATAATATTGTTACAACTCTACAATGGTTCTGTATGCCATATACGTAGCAGTCTTCAAGTATATATTGATGTCTCAAGAGGTCCTTGTGATATAGGCAACATGGATGTTGCAGATTCCAAAGCCATTTGCTGTATCAACACACCCAAGGCGCATATGTGTTTAGAATGCCACTGTAGCCATACTAAGTGTGATGGACTTGCATTTTCCTTGGTAATTTTACGGTACGCATCTATGATATGGACGGTACATACGTGACGCATGCTAATACGTACACACATTTTCCACATGTACTTTGCATATGTAGTGGATTTTTTCTAGGATTGAATGCAATAAAGACTATTTGGTTGCAACTGACTTTGATCATAAGGGTTGGCACATGGCCTCGGCAACTCCAACTTACCCTTTCTCCAAAAATATAACGTTTCCGCCATATTACACAGTAATTTGCTATGCCACTGCACATCTAATGCAGGGACCTTGTTACCATAATTGTTTGGCCATGCTTTTATGACAGGATGAGTAACAAAAAAAATAAGACTGCTTATAAAAACTTGACACAAAACAGCTGTGACACAACACATTGGACTAAGTAGCAATTCCCAGAATGCATTCATATGGAAAGGGGTCCCTTCTCCATCCTTTTAATCAATACGCACTCCTGTTTTGAGTTCTTTGATTTTTACATTGTATGAAAAGTTTCAGGGGTTGTTTGTGTTTTATTGGGTGCATGGTTTCAACCAGTATGCAAGCGCATTGTCACAAGCGTGCAGTATATACACAATAGAAATGGCAGCTTCAAACACGCACTGATATCTAGAAGTTTTCTTGCGACAAGATCAATATTTTTTGGCAGATACCATTGCCATTTGTTGTGTCAACACATCTAAGCTGCATATATGCAACTATTTTACATTGACATTTTTCCTTATATAGCATATATACCCTTGCTTCAGAAAGGGCGTCATCATATTCCATGGTAATTTGCTGTGCCACTGCAAATGTAACGGCGGACATTTTATTATCATAAATGCACTCATGACTGTGGGTAAAATGTAAACTATGTCAGTATGAGTTCATCATGGGAACCAGAAGACCAAGTAAAGAAACACTTACGCAACCTTACCAAACAATTGTATCTATAGAACGGCTGCCTTGCTTGCGCATTGATGCAACAAGTTGCCATGAAGCATGCAAAAAAATTGCATCTACTTGAGCAAGGACAGTAAATTGGAATTTGCACTTTCGTTTGCCAAACGAGTTCCACTGGAACTGTCATGACAACCAAAAGGCGACCTGGCAGTCCAATATCAAAAACAACCAATGCAAATACAAAGTGCTATGCATATGTAAATATATATATATGCCGTCTTTGCAGAGGCTGTATACCTAGGCAGGACCTATATATTAATATTTACATGAAGTACCAACTGACACAATAATTTTTTATGTTTCAAGCTGTTATTGGCCAAAGAACTTTGCCATTCATATATTAGGACCATCTATCAAAAACCAATAGTGCTTCAAAAAACCAGTTGCCAAGAATAGAGTTAAGGATTAACACGCCAAAAACAGTACATCCTCCAAGGACTTTGATTTGTCATATGATCAAAAATGAGAAGAATATTAAAAAATAAAACTAACGTATTTTTGGGGACCTGGTGCCGTTACATTCCCTTTTTGTTAAGAACTATTTACCCAGTTTTGGTGATTATTGTCTTTAAGTTTGGGCAATTATTGTCGCCAAATTTGGGTAATGAGCGTCTCTAAGTTTGGTGATTGTTGACCCTAAAATTGGGTAGATGTAAGGGACGCCAAAAAAAAAATATGCGCACAAAAGGTTCAAAATTTTGGGAAAAAAAATCTGCAAACCAATGATTTTTTGTCCCCACAGTTTTGCAGTGTTTGACCTTACGCTGCTGTATACGTTCCCCTGAACCTCCGCGCATACGTCATGTTATGTTGCTGCATGTGTTCTCTTGCACCCCCACACATACGTCATGCTACGCTGTTTTGGGTTCTCTGAAAGTTCCACACGTCCGTCATGATGATAATGGTGGTGATGATGATGATGATGATGCTGCTGCTGTGCGCCTTTTTCCGTTGGTGTCCGGTCAAGCGGTCGCTGGTGTTTATACTGGCCTGTCCCCAGATGTATTGACGTTTTTATACTGGCCTGTCCCCAGGTGTGTTGACAGTTTTATTCTGGCCTGTCCCCAAGATTGCGCAAAGCATGAGTATGTTCAGGGGGGGTGGGGGACCCATAATAACCCTTCTTTGAACACGTTTTTTTTGAAGGCGCTCTGTTTGAACGTTAATTTTTGTGTCTTCCGTCTTGCGCATCCACAGGCGAAAATAGGCCGCAGTTACAAATATGCTAACGCTCTATGCAAACATCTCAACGTGAACCACTCCATGTAACTTCAAAGTTCTACAAGCTAAGCATTCTCGCAATGTTACTTGGC